GCTGGTCCCTACTGCAAGGGTGAGCAAACAAATACTCTTGCAGAAGTACCAGTGTGTTACCTCCGCTGTGCAAAACAATTCAGTTGTATGACCTGTTGCAGCACTTCTCAAAAGTACAACCAGAAAAAACCACGGCTCATTTCTTTTTTAAGAACAAACACAACATGCAGTTTTTGCAGTTAAACAGATTGTTTTGTTCACAATACCAATGAGCACATTTGCATGCTTCCGTGGGATCAGAATACAGGAGAATCTAAAACTTACAAGTATACTGCCATTGAGATGAACCTTCTAACTTAAAATCATTCAGTACTTTATGATGTTTGGACCTAAAATAAAGTTTATTTTGAAAAGTTTTGTACCTGAAATTAAATTATTTGAAATATACTATAAAATACTAAAATTTAAGTCGAGGGCTTTTTCTTGTGCTCTAGGATGATGCAGGGAGGTTGGACCACATGACCTACTGTGGCCCCTTCCAATCTGGCCCATACTGTGATTCTTGGAAAGCCAAGACCTTCTCAGAACATTAAGCACAGCAATCTTATTCCTCCCAGTTAATGTTTACAGTTGCCAAAACGCAAGAAAACAGTTCTGCTGCCACTGTTCTGGCAGGTCTCCCCTCATATCAGAGTTACCTTCTATATTCCCCTTCCCCTCAGATTTTCACCACAGTTATTTACCATTTTTCTGTTTTCTATTCTGTGTTTGCTCTTTTATCATATGCTGGAAGATTCTCCATTTCCAACTGGTGGTTCCCTTATTTTCACCTCATTTCTACTCCTTCTTGCTCTATCTGCTGCTTATGCTTTCCTCAGATGTTCCTTTTTCCACTCTTCTTTCCCTCAAATGATCTACTACATTCCTCTCTCCACACAGCAAGCAGGATCTCGGCAGAGAACAGCTGACTTGACACAAAGACTGTTGATTTCATGTTACTGCTTTACATTTGAATGCACAGGGAAGATAAAGACCAAACAGAGGTCGAAGGAAAGATTACGGGAATCTCTGCACTAAAGGATATGAACTATCTGTCCATCAGACCTCTAGTGAATTAAGAATCAGTTCTACTTGCTGCATGAGTATAATCATTTCTTTCATCTAAATAAATAAAAACAGCATTCATAAATAAAACTTCCCAGAACTTCATACTGGATTTTATATATGCCTTTGACAAGGTGGTGTTAGGTCAAAGGCTGGGCTGAATCTCAGAGGTATTTTCCAACTTAGTTGATTCTGTGATTCTGTGAAATGAACACATTATGCAGTATTGAAAATATATGCAAAATACATGCTAAAATTTTAGAAAAACTGAGAAAGAAATCATACCATATCATGTTTACATACACAATAGATACACTGAGAAGCATTCTTTCAATACCCTCTTTCTGTTGTTCAAATTAAACAGAAAAGCAAAACAAAGTTTCTGAAAAAAGTATCATAAAATAAGAGAGATTAACTACTAACAACAGTCCATTCTCACAGGAAACAATTCATGCCTCATCCTGATGAGCAGCAGTGACTCTGTGCTTGACTAGTGTCTCAAACTTTTGAGTATTCACAAATTCTCCAGTAATCACTGGACAAAACAAGAAGCATATCTTCTTGAGACAAACGTGGGTTGGACCCTTAACATGAATCATCCCTGAACTACACTGGAAGACCTAGAGATAAAAATGCTACCTACTTAGATCCTTTCTCATTCAGAAGTCTCAACAAAGAAGTCAGTTCCAACCAGAATAATTTAGACTGTAAAGAACATCAAGAGATCACTTCATCCAATACACAACTGAAAGAAGCGCCATCCTAGACTTTCATCTACTCCCATTAGTAACAATGGAGATTTAAACTGGGGGAAAAAGATGGAGATTACATTCCCATAACCACGTTTAATCTATCTTGGCTCAGTCTTGAGTTAGTCACACTTTCAGAATCTACTAACAAACAGACTATCTTATGTCTTATTTCAGTGTGTACAAGTTGTCACCAGCCAAAAACACAATAAAATATTAAGGCAACAGGCATTTTTCAGGGCACAGTATTGTTGTAAATATCCCAATTTCATTTATTCAACATTTATAATGAAGATACTGTTATTACAGACACTATATGATGCACCCTTGGTTGCTTAAGTCAAACTCTGCTTATGTCTGCTTTCTTTACAAATATTAGACTATTTTTTTTAAATTTAATTAATTTCCTTCGTGATGTTGTCAGGTAGATCTAACTGGGAAGGACAATTAAACCATGAATTCAAGGCCAGGTACTATCCAGTCCTAAAAAACAAAATCAATAAAGACTGTAGTCCGAGGACTCATTCCCTGTAAGCTGAATGGAGCTAAAAAGGAATGGGGTAACTTGTGGATATCCTAAAGTCACAGCAGTAGAAACCGAATGTTTGTTCATACAGCAGAGTAAGTCCTTGCATTTCACACTGCCAGCATGTCTCAACTCAGCCTGGATGAGTCACCCTCCTGGAGGGTCACTGTGCTACTTCAGTGCTGGATTCTCTAATGGGACTGCCATGAATGATATTATACGGTGGCATTTGCTCCAAGAGGACACTTGTCTTCTAAGAACTGGATAAAAACCACTGATTTCACGCAGGTCAGTAAGCAACCATCAAAACAGTAGTGACTAAAAGTCCTTACCAACTTTTCCTTGCTTTGAACTGGTGACACAGAAGTGATGGGAAAGACTCCATCCTCCATTAGCAATCCCTAAGCTACCCATTACATGGTCCTTGACCTGCTACCCAGTCACCCTATCCCATTCCCACCCTATGTGAGTGAACAAGCATCTTTGTTTACAGAAATTGCAATCCTTGGGAATTTAAATCTAAAATTCTCACAGTGTACATTACCAGTACAACTGACACTGAATTCAGCTGGTATTACTTAACTAAAATAGTTTGTAACTCAGAAGAGACTTGTAACTTACAGGGAAAAAACACACTGTCTCTAAAACACAATGCAAACATAAATGTTGCTTCCCAGGAAATCAGGGGGGCAAGAGGGTTATGTTCAGATACAGGAATCTGGAGCACACTATTCATAGGAAGACTACAGTAATCTCTAGTTATTTACAAGCTTGCTACTCAAACATAAAACCAAAAACTTCAAAACAAGATTAAAAACTATTCCGTGCCTTTTACTACTAACAAAAACTCTGTTATGGACAAAGGTTCATGTAAGGTACTTTACATAAGATCAAGGTGGTTTCATACTGTGTTACATACCACCTAACATTTTAAAGTAAAAACAAGCACAACTGTTCTAGAAACAAAAGGAGTTCTGCACGAGTCAATGCAGTTTAGAATATTACAGATTGGACAGTTTCTACTAATTACACTATCAAGAATCATTAGGTAAAAGATACTTTAATACCCACAACTTTTCCAGTTCAACTGAACACTGAGATGAAACTATCATCATGTTTAAAACTACACAAAAATCCCGTTGGATTTCAAATGGAAACCACTAGCCACTACAACTAAAAATGTGTTCTGAAAATTCATCTACTTTTGAAACCTAAGGTACATTTAATTCTGTGCTTTGCAGTACTTTAAAAAAAGAAAACATTCCCTCTCCGTAGTCCATTCATTATCTCTTTCAATATATTTAATAGATGAAGAGCTTTTTTCAGACAGAAATACTACAGAGGTATCAGATATGAACACTTAAATGCATACATGCATACTAATAAAAAGACTGTAAAAACCTCAAGAATACAAATTAGTACTCTTCTGGTGCAAAGTGTCATATCCTTTAAAGGCATTTATATATCTGTGGAACTGTTATTAGCTACATACACATCTGTGTAAAACACCTAAGCACAAATGATCAGTTCCATCCCACATTATAGCACACAATAAAAAATTATGCTTCCCCCATAATTGCAATATTCTCATTAAATATAATACCTCCAAGCATCACTTGCTTTTAATACAACTCAGTATGAATCCAGAGCCTGTCTCTATTAAAAACAACACCAACAAAAAACAACTCTAAAAAATCCCACCTCACATCAGTCAACTACAGGGGTATAAATTTCTCTGTCATATAAATTTACTCAGCTGTTATACAGCAGGGGATTACATCAGCACATTGTACTGCAATAGCCTAATGGCTCAAGTTGCACCAGTAAAAACCCATTTTAGAGTTAGTAGTTCATTTACAATGGCTAATTCTACCACGTATCTAGCTACACTGTGGTAGAGGGTTGTTCATTTTCCCCTAGATACATAAATCTCTCCAGTATGACACAGCATCTGTAGTATTCAGCAGCCAACATTAAAGCCAAACCAAGTTTTACCAAAACTTCACAAAAATTTTTACCTCTCTTATCCTGAGTTGTCCTTCTTATTTTCCATAAGGAAGACCTAAAGATTTTCCCACACAAACCATGACCTCCCTCACTAAAACTTAAAAAGAATGAAAGTGGTCTGGGCTGATTCACCCCTGCTGCTTGGAAAGGCTGGAAGAACAGCTACATCTCCTATGCAGTCAGCCAGCAAGAGCTGAAACACATGCTGACCAACAGTCTCCATCTGTATTTGTCCAAACCTAAACAATTACCTTGAAGATAAGAAAAATATATACATACACAGTCAAATACTGCATTGTGATCATTGTGATAACTACAATTAATATACTAAACTCCTATAAAATGGCAACTACTTTAAATTTCTTATAGTACAGTGCCCTTCCCCCCCCCAACATAATAAATCAATTATGTGCTACCATTCTGTGAGAACTATGACTTTAAGGAAATTATTAAATATTTATCTTATAATATTCAAGTTTAAAAATGGAGGAGAAAAATGAAGTCTCTTTAGAGTTGATGTATCTTCTCAGCTTAATTAACACAAGCTTTTCCCGTTTTAATTTGCACTTAAGAAGCAGGAACTTTACTCAGTTTGCTAATTACTACATTTTCAAGCTGTTTTCTTGAAATAGATGACAGCCTATCACTCTAGGAATCCAAATTTCTCTAGTTACCTCGAATAACGTAATTGTCCAAAGCCTCTTCCATTCTTTTCAGTGCTTCAGCTCTATTAGAGCCATAGGTAATCAGCTAAAGAAAAAAAAAAAAGTATTTACATCACCTAGAAATGAAATGTTTGTCTCTAGAATTTGAATAGCATTTAAAAATGAAAATTATTTGCAGAACTTCTGCAGTCACACAACCATTTCTTGCACATTAGTGCATCTGTGCTTCAGAGGCTCCCTGAAACATCAGGAAAAAACTGAGATATTTTAACCCATTCACTTAAAGAAGGCCAATCACTTTTCCTTCATACAACTTTAAGCATCTAAACAAGCTCTCAGAAAAATCAGAGCAAAGGTTCAATACTCAAGTTGACTCTCCTGACTCCTAACGCCTAGCCAACTTCAAAGATGTAATTTTTTTGACAACTGAACTCTGACTATAATGTCATATTTTAATTTTTCCAATATGTTAGTGATGAATAAGAACTAAGAGACACTATCAACCATTTCTTTCAATGCTTCTTTTTGGAAGCCAGAATCATTGACATTTTCATCCCAGCTAGACTATGTTAACAAAGTTAGATTGGCAGCACCTAAATCAAATGGTTGGTGTTTAAATCAGAATCTTTTTAATAGTTAGAAATTGCAAGACAAATAAATTACAGTGTCAAAAGGTAAAAAATTTTATTTAGAAGTGACACTAAATTTCCTCCACTCCACAACTTCCTTCACTTCTTTTATATTCCTCTGAAGCGCGTTATGCCTGGCACCTTCAAAATATTGATTTCCCAATCCTTCAACATGCTCTCATTTAAAAGATCCATGTATAGAACTAGTGCTTCATACCTTTACAATATTGAAAAACAATAGTCAACTCACTTTTGAGATCATGGGATCATAATAAATGCTAATATCACTTCCTTGTTGTATTCCACTGTCAACACGTACCTTCAAAAAATAAGAAGTAAAAATAATTACATATTGGTGGGACAAAAAAATTTCAACCTAAGGATCAAATCTACCCATCAGCCTTACAACAAACACCCACAAAGCTTATCAGGTACATTTTTACCTCTGGAAGAACTAAAATAATTATTTGTTTTTCAGAGAACCTGAAGGTTCTCTGAAGGAGGAACCTCTGAAGGAGGAGGGAAGGGAAGCTTTTTCCTCCACCAGGAAGACTTGAAAATTATTCTCCCCTTCAAGAGAAAATTGACTGCAGTCTTCAGTCGATAGTCAAAATTCTCTTTTGTTCTCTATAACTCACAGTAAACACACTAAATTTGATCTAACAATTTAGGCTGTGTTACACATTAGCTTCAACTCTGAACATACCCAATTCTGATTTACTCCCTGTAATAAAACACACTTGTAATTATTTTTCTGACTGACACGTGGCATGAAGGATGACCCTTATAATCACACCCTTTCTGCATCTATATATAATCACATTGCTCATGTTTCACTACAGCTCTTCCAAGGACTTCAGTAGGAATAGAAGTAGAGAGCATTCAGCAGGAACTTTGGAGTTCTGCTTTATCAGCTCCATAGGAATACTGATCCTGTGGTTTTCATGTCTGTAACACTTTCCTTCTCTGCCTCACCCTCTCAAATGTAAAACATTTTTTTTCTGTTGCTGCTGTTCCCCTGAGGCTTTAATGTTTACACAGCTTTTTCCATGGCTTTGCTTTGTAAGGACACAGCCCCAATTAAAGCTCTGATTCTGCATTATTCGTGGAAAAAAATAACACAAGTTCAAAAATTTCTTTTGAAGAGGCTGATTGCTGTTAACCAGCCAACAAGTTAGTTAGTATATTGCTGATTCTTGTTTTCATCTCTCAGTTTGATTTCATCACTGTAACAATGAGGTTAGCCATATAAAACTTTTCAAATGAGCCATTTCTGGGGAATAAATATTTATTAAATTGCTGCTTTTGAGCAGTGGAATCTGAAATATTTTTTAAAAAACAATCAAAATAACTCTAGAGTGATAAACACATTCTGGGGATCATCAGGATGGAGGGCTCTAATCAAAGCTGTTGAAGCAGCAGGGATCCGATACACCGCATTGTAAAGGGGGTGGGAAAGAGGGTCCTGGAATCTCACTTAAATCTTCACCTGTGGGAAGGAACCTTTGTAATAAACAGCAGCTCATCTGTCTGCAGCAAGGCAGAAAAAGGTCAATGCAACGGCTGTTAGGCCTTTAATATTTTAATTTAGGCAATTATCAAGGGACCACATGTAGAACCTCTTGTCTACAGAATCCACATGAGGGCATGATGATGACTCTATTATCCAAGTGACATAAAAAGATACCCTAGCAGGTGTACTCACTTTCTTCAGTAAGAAACACTCCCTGACTAGTTTTTAGGACATTACTTTAGGAAGAAACCTGCTTATTCATAAATTTGTATTTATATATTTATGCTTACATATTTATAGATAATTTCTTCTTTATTTGTGTTTTTTTAGCATATTTTTTCATATGTAAAGGCAGTGTTGTTTCTCTACTCTCTACCACTTTAATCACACCTTATGTGAAAGTGTCTTATCTATCCTTAACTGGACTCCCCCACTACTTACATAAGGTATATTTAGCATTAGCTACTGATAAGAAGGTAGTTCAGACATACCAATATTACAGAAAAAAACATGCAGTGTATGTCTTAGCTTCCGTTCTTCACATTTTTCCCTATGTAAAATATCCTTAAAAAGTTTAAAATTCTTTATAAACTATTGTATCATTTCCTTAAAAAAAAATCTGGAGTCCTCTCTAGAAGTTTTATTTTCATAAAATAAACTCAAGATGACTAAAAAAATTACAGCAGAAAAGAAATACATTTATACCATCTTCAGTTCTCCCCGTGGTGCTTACATTTTCAGAGCCTGGTAACAGTAGGTGATTTTATAAACTATACGGTGTGACAGAACTTAATGAATATTGGATGAAAAAGAAACCCTAATTCAATAGATACTCACCATAATGTGCTGAACTTGATAAACAATAGCAATATTTACTAAACATCCAGCATTTACTTCTGCTTAACACGCTTCCTTTCTTTTACTCACTGTTTAAAATATCAAGGAAAGGCTAGGGTTCAAGATCCTGCTCCATCCTAGATCTCATTTCCCATTACAGCCCCAACACTTTGCTCTTGTATTATCCTTATGTGTTATTACAGTAAGACAACAGAAAAATGAAAGAAAAAAATGCTTAAGAGGTTAAAAAAAAAAAAAGCACAATCTATGTCTCAGTCCTGCAATGAACAACTAGTACATCAAATTCCACTTAGGAATACCTACAGATTCTAGTATTTCTCAATTCTTTGCTATATCTAAGAACTTTTTCTTTCTGTTAAGAGTCATTAAAATACCAGACTGCTGATCGTACCAGCAAAGAGAGATGCTGGAGCTCTCCAGATATGGCAGTACATGTTGTGCAGGAGCACTGAACATCAAAAATCGCTATCATAGTACAGGGGTTTGTTTGTGGTCACTTAGCTTAAGCCTCATTATCAAAGACAAAAAACGTTTGGTATTTATGAGTACCAAGTTCTGAAGAAACTACAGACTACATAACAGAAAAACAGCCAGGATGTTCCTCTCTCTGGCTAAGCAACAGCCCTCGCCAGCCACGTACACCAGTTTCACCAGCATGAGCAGCTGACACATAGGCACAGGTAAACAATCAGAGCTAACTGGAGACAGAGAAGAAATGAATCGCAAATACATTTGGCAATACACTATCTATAAGCTGAACTCACTGTGACACACCACAAGTCTCCACTAATTTTTCTCAAGCTAAACTGTTGACAATTGTAAAATCTAAAGTGCAGAAAGTAAACACTGTGGCACAAGGGGCCTCTACCACTGAACTTTTTCAGTCATTTTAATTTTGTTCTTAGCAGCATGATATTCTCAGGAGAGAAATTAGTTCCACAGTGGCAGAAATGTATGCATTAAGACACCAAATCATGAGTGTCTATATAAAAATAGTTGCTCTATTTTTAATACAACAGTAGAAGAGGAAGAGAACAGCCTATACACTCCACATGAGCTCCTCAAACCATTGCTCTGAAGCCTCTAGTGTAATTAAAATCTCTTTCTTTGGTACCACGATGGACCACGAGAAGCAATCAGGCATCTCCCACCCTTCATTTTCAATTCACCTCTCCCCCTAAGCACAACTCCCAGCCCACCCCGTCTACCTGACAAGTGACAGCCCAATCTGATTAAATGCTTGCAAGGGAGGGGACTTATGGGCCTCCATGACAGGCCAAAAGTGATCACCATGGAGATACATAATTACAGCTGTCAACGCATCTACTGTCCTGCTGGCATCAATTTGATTGCTCCCAGCAATAATGATAGACAAAGCTTAGTGTGCACTCTCCTACACCCAATCACTTTATCTATTCCGTGGTCCATTTAGCTGACATGCAACATTCACACAAGCAAATAACAGCAGTAAGCAGAACATTTAAGGCATTTTAATTGTTTTTCCTTTGTATGGATAGCTTACAAGCGCAAATGTTATTACATAAAACTCCTGCTGCAGCATTAATTGAAGAAAGATTTGGTGGGACAAAGACTGTAGGGGGTATAGTTTGTCCATTATCACTTGTACTTTCAACAGGTCTCACGTTTGGAAAATTGCAAATTGCAAAAACTTGCAAGGGCAAAATGTTTGACATCCTGTTAGCTATTACAACATGGTGAAAACTTCTAACAACCACTGGAGTATTCATTATAAATTCTTATTAAATACACTCTTTATTTCATTAAAAAGAAGTTTAGATACATCCAATGATACCTTTTTCCCTCATCTCCTCTTTAAGAGTACATAATGGCTTTTAGATCTTCGCAATTTTTTTCTGCTTTCGGACTTTGAACACAGCATGAAGCCTTAAAGACCAGAAAGGGTCAGGTCCCTTTGGAAAGTACATGGGCAAAAACAATTCAGAAAGCAAAATAAATCATATATCCAATAACATCTCCACATTTGAGATTCCTCCTGTAATCTTTAACTATTTTCCGTGCAAGCAATCAGACTGAGTAATTGTATTCACAGATGGTACAATCTCATCATTCCACTAACTGACATAGTGTCATGTATATGTGCACTTAGACTACCTTGATTTTACAGACAGGCCTTTAAACATAGCACAAAACATTGTTTGTTCAACAGCTATTCCATATAGTTAGACTGTATCCTGAAACACGTAATAACCACTGCATGAAACTCATCTTTAACATTTACAAAGCTAAACAAAAAGCACTGGCAGCTTCTCGCCGGTGTCCCCCGTTCTCTATGCTTAAAGAACTGACTCAATATTTCACTGTCCTTTCAAATGGCCACAGTATTTTTACTAAAACTGTGTTTGAAAGTTATAGAACAAATTATTTCAACACATAATGATTTCTTGTTACACCCAATTTGAATATTTTCAACTAAGTTTGGAACTCCACGGTTTTAAGCAGTTTTTCAGACTGAACAAATCAGTTTTGCTATGTCCTATCCCCTCTCCGGCAAAAAGCTGGAAAAAGAGCCTGATTTACAAAGCCACTGAGTGTTTACAGTGTCTGCCCATAAGAGAGAAACTCAGCACCTATGAAAACCAGAACTGAGTTACTTACACTTGGCACATGCAATGGTTCCTGATACTGAGACAGTTTACCAATGGATGGCAGGCCAAAAGATTTGTAGGGGTCCTGAAATAAAATTCAACAGGACAAAGCATTAAGCTTTTACAGATGTGGAGCAGATAATGTTGAAAAGCTTGAAGTCTAACAAAAACTGCTACTGGAATGACTTGGTTTTCTTCCCCAGAATTACTTGTGTTGAAGAATATTTCTTCATCCATCTGTCCCTGCAACTCCAAACAGAAATGGAAGCATATAAATTCTCTTGCATCAGTCAAAAAGCATGAAAGAAGTGCTCTGCACACAGTTATAGTACACCACTACAACAAAAGACGAAAAGATGACGTTTTCATTAGCTACACGGTGCCTTGGAAGAAGGACGGTTAAGTATTCAGAATGGTGGGGTGGAGAAGAGATAAAAAAATTTCAGAGATAAAAAGGGACATTAGAAATTCAATAATCTTAAGAAATCAAACCAATCTTTATGCCTTTGGAAATCTCCTACGCAATGCAACATCATTTTAACATATAAATGCAACGTTATTTTAACATATAAACTTAATAGGACAACAAATAAATATATGGCCTGCAGAATTACCAAATTCATGGCAACGTAGTTGGATTCATTACTTCTAAATATGAGGGGATCCAGGTTGAACAAAATAAAAAGGACCCAAGCACCAATTACTCCAGGGTAAAGTCTACTAATACTCAGACCAGCTTCCATGCCAATCGCAGGGCAAATATTTATTCTTTATCAAAATAGTTTGCACAACTTGTAATCAGTAGAGCAAGTTGAAAGATTATGTGCCTGTCACAAAGGGGGGCAGTTGGGGAAGTAAAATAAGATGCTCTAGGTCAGAAAAGTCACAATCGTTAAGCAAGAAGAAACATCTGAAGATGCCGAATTACTTTTAAAAAGGACAGTTACCTAAAATGTTCCTGAAACAAAATTAAGAAAGCTAGGCATTATTTTCCAGGCTCCATCCCTGGTAGTGTTCAAGGCCTAAACATTTGACTGAAAATGGGTATTAAATTTTTGTAAGTTTATTTAAGATGAGACAGAGAGTCACATCATAATTATAAAGTTATTGTTTTGGAATGTACTTTGAAAGTTTGACCTATTATAACCTGTAGTTTCAGCAGATGTGTAGCTTGCTTTTCAACAACCTTTCACAAAGTTTTAGTAAAACAACAAAAATTATGTAAGACCTTGAATTTCAACTGACTTTTTAAGTCAACAAGTTTCGGATTTCAGTCAAAAGATTTCACAAACCTGGAAACAGTAGTTAACCATAGGAAATAACTCCAGCAATGCATCATTAAATGTAAACAGAACATATAGGTTTATTTCTAATGACATTTACTCACTTAGCTCTTTTACCATCGTTAATTTCGATTATCAGAAGAAAAGCTCTGCAGAAATACACACCATATTCTTATATAAAAAATAACTCTACAATTCTACAAAACCTCATTAACCATTCATGTTACGTGCTCTAAATCATGACTTTCATATGATATTCCTTGACTTCACCTTGGCATCTATCCACACCTGGGTATTATTACGCCACAATTCAACCACCTACCCTCCTCCCCATTACCACTCATTTACCTCAGCATAAACTCGACATTCAACCGCCCAGCCGTTGATGGGAATATCAGCCTGTTTGTGCCTGAGAGGGTAACCCTTAGCAACACGGATCATTTCTTGGACTAAGTCCAGGCCGGTAATGCATTCTGTGACGGGATGTTCAACCTGTAAGGTCAAGAACTGTCAGTCAGTAGGTAACAAAAAACAACAACAACAAAAAAAAAGCCTCTCTGTAAACAAACATATAAACAAGAAATTTGACCAGTCAAAGAACAGACATAGAATATGCTTATGTTTTGTTCTTTTTCCCCAAAAAAATTCTGCTTCAACTCCAGCAACCACCATCTTTGCAGGAGAAGGGGGGAAAAAAAAAAAAAAAAAAAAGGAGAAAAAAAATTGGTAACTATAAAAGGAAAACTAGAAAGGTCACCTAGAAGGATTCAGGAGTTTGCAGGTTTTTGGGTTGGGGATTTTTTTTCATTTGTTTTACAAATTCAAATGCAGCTGGTGATGATGAGGTAATTTTTCTTTGTTTAGACGCTTTTCCTATTCAATTTTGTTTTGAAGAGACTCACACTGTAGCCATAATAGTATTTTAACTGAAAATCTCAAAGTAGCTAATAATCAACCCATTCTGCTACACTTAACATGGCACAAACAGGAGCCACTTACAATTTTCCATAGAACTAGCCTACCCTAAATCTCACCCATTCGCCTGCTTTCACTAACCTGTCCTGACAAGCAACCAGATTAGCGTAATCTTGCATCAGCGCAGTGTAGCAGAAATGAGCAGATGGATCCTTCAATTTTTTTTTCCCCTCCAGACTTATCTGTTTAGTGCTTAGCATGCACAATAGCTGGGCTGGACCAGCAGAGTCGCTCTGCGCTCTCAGCAAATTGCCGCTAACGGCTTTGGATGATGCTGCCATGGGAATACCCGTCATTCACACTCACCCAGGATGTGCGTACAAGCATGCACACATGTGTGCGCATATGCACATGCACACACACTTCTTCCTTCAAATGGGAATACAAATTAATACCTCGATTAACTTTAAAAAAACCTTTAATTAGCCATAGGACAAAAAAAAAGCACCCGAAGACAAGAGGGCCCATCCAATAGACCAAGTAAAAGGTAGGCAAGCTAAAAGCATGTTCTTCTCACAAAAAAGAGCTGTAAGACTTTCCATGCAGAAATTATGACAGAACTGCCATTTTTATTATAAAATCTTTGTGCTCCAAGGGCCAAAACACCTCAAGAAAACACGTTTCACAAATCTTTCTCTATCATGAGATGTCATACTACGTTGCTTTTCTGACACAAGGTCACTGACCAAAAAACTTTGTCTTTCTTCCTTAAAGTATATGAGTATTAAGGAAAACATTTAGTCATTAGAATAATATTGTGGCTTATCAGAACATGTAGATGCTTCGGTCTTTAAGAAAAAAAAGCTTTGTAAAAATAAACAGATGGCATCCATAATTAGCCCTGTGTGTGCTGTGAGTTTGCTTAGAGTTTCAACAACATTTTAAGACGTTTTGACATAATTTTAATGACAAATCATCGCTGAAACAAGCACCTATTCTTTGAAGGACAAAAGTGACATTGAAATGGGAATCTGATTATACAGTTTAAGGATATACCTTTGGGATTCAATCTTGATTCTACCTAACACATGATACTCTCCAGCATGTCAAGCCTAATAACAGTATTTTGAGAAACTATGAAACATCTCAGTGTCTATCCTGCAGTGTTAAATTGAAGCAATTCAATTTCTATTAAGACTTGAAGTTTCTATTAAAACTCCCTAAGTTTTAATAGAAAGTTACTTATCACACATTCATATTTGGACAACTGAACTTACTTTCTTATTTTGGAATATAAGTTTTTAAAAGTTACCTTTAGAGTTAAGAACAGGTTTGGAATTTTAACATTCCAGATAATTAAAATACTTTTTATTTTTCCAAAGACATTTGCATTATTTAGTTATACTGTCATTTTTCTTGGATAGCAATTGGCATTCCAGATTCAATAGCTTCATTGTTGTTTTCAGTTTTATTGTTGATGATCAAAATAAGATGGAATGTTTCTGGAAAGAAAAATATTTTTGTTGTTTGGTTCTTACGACTCACAAACATTTACTTAATCCATTCTTCAATACAGATCTTTGACTTGGTCAATATTTTCTTCTATTTCTTCAAAATACTCCCTTTGTGTCTCCACACAAAACAGCATTCAGAAAACATGTATAGGAAAATTTTTGAAGGTTTGTTTTTTGTTTGTTTTGGTTTGGGTTTTTTTTAGGGGTGGGGAGAAGTTGTTCTGCTTTCTTTTAGGACTCTGCTTCAAGTAGCACTGTTTAGGTATAACGTAGGCAGTTCCAATCATATCACTAATTTGGGGGTACCAAATACATTTTAAATATATTTTAGCATTCATTAAGACCACCAGATGACCCAAACAGGGTAGAAAAGAACTTTAACCTTGACATTCTAAGTTGACTTATTTGTAACTTTAACCTTCCAGTGAGGTGCACAACTCACACTGCACTTCTTTCAGCATTTGCAGTTTACTTTCAGCAAGGGGAGGGCAGGAGGGGGTCAGTACTTTTAGCATTCTACAGAATATGCTTCAGCACAAAGTACCAAAGGACACTAACAAAGCAGTAATGCCGTATCTTGGTTCAACAAACATATTGCAATGAGGTTTTGGAGTTGCAAGAATCCACCTACAGAGAGACACAAGCTCTAAGCTTTTACAAAGCAAGGAAGGACAGAGGCAGGTAAAGTGAAAAGACTAAACCCCTTTTCTACTTCCACCCAAAAAAAAAAAAGGACACAGACATCCACATTCTCTGCCTGCAAAAGCTTTACAACTGTCACAGCTACCCTACACAACTAAGCTAATTGTATCTGTTTTAAAATCACTCTTAAAAACTAGGCTTCAACCACTTTCCTCTTTTACTTTTCAGCCTTCTACTTTTGCCTGCCTGTTGTATTTTCTTCTATCATTTTACGCTGTACCCCTTCTCCAGCAACAGCATTTCTTGCCACTTTATGGATTCTACGTCAAGTTCTAAATTTTTGAATAGGTGAATGCAAGTATGCTCACAAACAGAGATGAATCACACTCAACTGATCCACTCCTTTAGCTTTAGGCCAAACTCAGATTTGCAGTCAGCTGATCCAAGATGCTGTCAGTGAAGGCCCAGTCAATGGACTGTGGTTATACGAAAGTGGGTAAATTCATACACTGCCATTGTCCCATAAAGGGCAAAACCAGACATGTCTGTGTCAAGGCAGCTGTACTTTATTCTATATAGGACAAGCAATAAAATTGATCAGCAATAACTCCCAATTAATTAGCTGCCAAAAGTAACACCTTTACTATCAGTTCCTTTACTTACACCAAATCCAAGTCATCATTTCAATGCACTTAAGCATGATACGTGCCTCTTTATAAAGTCTTACTCCCCACTTTCTGTGATAAAAACACACAGACATCATCACTACTTCTGTAAATCGTCACTTATATTCCTGCTTTGAAGTCCACAAAGCTTTACCTGCTGTGGTCAGCAACAGCTATACACAGTAAAGTGAAAGCGCTGTCCCTCCATGGACCTGCTGGATCTGCTCTTCTTCAGACATCTGACAGTAACCAGATTTCCTGAGAGAATGCAAGTTTCTTTGCTTCACTAACCTCTTCCTGTATATACAACAAGAGACACTAGTGGCAAAGCCCATCAGAAAACAATAACTAAGTCCCAGTTTATATATGGTGAAGTAGAAACAAAAGAGAAGGCAAAACCTACCAACGTCACAGTCCAGTTAGCATCCATCACCAGAACAGTATGGAAAGGCTGCTAATTCTCCTCCTGTTCTGTGACTGACAGCAATCTTAAAGCTTTACCATAGTGGGGTTCATCCACAGCTACAAAAACAATCATGTGTTTTTTATGGACAGTTGGAGCTAAAAGTTAAATTAGCAATGACTGCTCCCCTTATATTCAGGGGAATAATTTCAGGACACATTTTTCTCAAGACTATCAAGGTACTCAGATCTAATAGCAAACACTTCTGTACACTCTCACAGACAGCTCTTGCCCCTCTGTGTATAAGGCATCAAGTTACTCACACACCAGTTGGAGCATTCAAGCACACCACATCAGCCAAGAAAATCTAAATTTCAGTAGACTTAAAACTATAGCCTATGTCACCCCTACTACTGTAAGTCCCTAGATGGTGTCACATATCCCTTTACATTCAGATAAATAATCTCAAAACTAACTTTCAACATACACCTCAGTTTCCAGGAAATGTGATTCACCTGGAGTCCCACAGGTTTTGCTGCTGCAGCCAAATCCAGTATCAACTGACCCAAACACACCAACGTACAGATGCTTCTCAACCCCCCGTATTTCAGTAAGCCTGGTTTCTATTTCAGAGAACTGAAGAGCAACAGAGGTGCACACATGTTCTGCTCTTCAGGCATGCCAGCTTCCTGACTACTGTGAGCAGGAACACTCTGGGGTCACATCTTTCTGCAAAACAGTTCACATGTATACGGGGTTCAGCAGCACACAGCAAAAAAACAGCTTTTCATAAAGGCTGCTGAAGAACAGACAATGACTGGATTAACGTATAGAATGAATGGAAAGTACACAGGAATATTTAACAGGCAAACTCCTATGTTGTCCTCTTCTATAGACACAGTATAGAACAACATGCGTTGTTTGTTTTCTGATTTATTAGTATGTGATCAAACAACTGAAGGCAACCAGAACTACAAAAGTTTCCACCAGCTGAGACGCTTGGGTTTCCCAAGTAATATGTAGAAATAAGAACTAATACACAAACATTCGGTACCAACTAATTTTTTTATCACAGCATTAACTCTGGAAAAATGTTTAATCTACCTCCTCATAAGAAGTTATCCAAGTTATCTTCCAATATCTTTAATTTTTCTTTGCAAGGATTTGTTTCTACACTGTATGGGACAGATGCAGCTTTCACAGCCTATGAATTCTGAATCTGCCCTTTCCATGTTTTAAATGAATTGCACACACTTTAGATCAACAAGTTAATTATCTCACAATTTCAACATAACTAACTTTCTCAATTAATATCCTGCACTTCATAAAAAATTTCTTTCAATTCAGTAGTTCTACACCATTTCCTTTCCGCTACATAATCCGTGTAAAAAAATAAAGATACTTTCATCCACAAAACTTATACTTTCTTTCCCAAAAATACAATTCTTTCTTTTACTGTGTTTAACAGCAGTATTAAATCCTTCTCAGACCACTTCATTTGAGGTGGTTTTGGTCACACTGCAGCTATTCTTGGTTTTGCTTTATATCAAATTCACCAAAGCAAGGAAACTAATGTACTCTTTGAAGAATTACATTTTGTTTCTTTAGTTAATAAAAATGGAAGGGTCTCTCCTCTTTCTCTACTTTTTTTGATAGTATTTTATGATAGTTACATGGCAATGTGTCTCTAAGATATCACTACATGCCCTGGCAGCACTGTTAATGGCATCTTTCAGATTCAATGACTTACACAAACAATGTTGTTCTCTTCTGTCAACAACAATTAGCAATGCTTTTCTGTAGTTCTTTCGGGAAGCCTGAAAAGCAGACAACCAGTAGCTACATAATGGAAGTTGCATTAGAAGGCAAGAACGTGGCAAAAATCTGGTTAACTGTTGTCGGCTGACCCTCTTGTGTGAAACAGTGTTGTTTGGCAGCAAAATCACCTTTTCTTTCGGTTCTAAAAATGGCCATGAACAGCTGGTATAAACTGTGTGCAGAATGGATTCTGGTGGGCTTAGGAGATTGGTAATGGGATAAGAGACCTTTCACCTTTAGGTCAGTAGTTCAAATTCAGTCCAGGTTAGCAGCAATTGAAAGTCTTTACCATCTGACACTGTTCGTTAGCCTATTTAAAATGACTGAAGCTAAGTGTCACAGTAAAACACGATAATAGTAACAAGAAATATGAAAAGTCTCAGCACAAACAGTTGCTTGAGACTTTACTTCAAAATCCCACCATTAAGACTTTGTAGAAATCTACTCCTCTAACTCCTGACAGCCCCTTTCACTGCTCCCATACTCCTGCTCACCTATCACAATTCATCCTGCAGGCAGCGACACACACCAAGACAGCTCCCCATCCCCATGGGTCTGCTACAGACACCAAAGTCACCACCTCTCTGTGGTTTTAGCTGGCAGTCCAGACTCAGCTCATTCCTTTGCTATTTGTATTTTGCTGCTACTGTTTACATAGTGTAGCTGCAACATTTTCCAGCACTTCTCTCCTCTAAGCAAACGTGCAGCAGGTGACTCTTGACAAGCAACAGAATACAGATACCATTAAGAGGCTGTAGAACCAGGAGTTTATAAGCAGCAGAGCTCCAGTCAATCAGCAACAGGATTTCTACATACTTCTAGAGCTTTGACAACTATGCTTTTTATACTTTCATGAGTGGACAAACAGGAAGCAGAAAGAGACATGTTGCACATAAAAATTCTTCACATCTTTCAGACGAGGCACTGGCAGTTTTGTACAAAGCTCTAGAATATATAATTTTCCAGGGCTCAGTAAAATCTGCTGAAAACCCTTAAAGTGATAATAAATAAAAATCTTAACACTGGATAATGTTTAATGGGTGTATGGAGGGTTATTTACCTTCACTTTATGCTTAGAATCAAATTACTTTAAAAGAACTTAAAACATTTACATAAAATAAATACTCTCACAATAACTAACTGTAAACTAAAACACAGATATGCCATTTGCTTTCAATAAGTCTCTTACAAGTATATCAGATTATTCCGCAAAGTTAATTTTTATTCCCTAAAAAGTTATTGCAAAAAATAATCCAACTGTCACATGAAGAGAAAACACACACGTATTAACAGATATCCTTTAAGTACAGACGATACACTCTCTTCCTATAAATTCCAGGAGTAACATCTCTAACCTTCCAGCAAAGAGCAGAAGAAACTTTTCTAGTGAAGGCCAGCACTTCTGATGGTAACTTGATGAAAAGAATTTGATATAACTTGGAAGCTAGAAAGATTATCAATCTAAGTGGTCAGAAAATTTTTATTTATTGCAAAGCTCATTTAGTTCTTTTGGACTATGACTGCCCTTGATTAGGCTGATGGCAAAGGCAAAACACCACAGTGTGAACAGCTATAAAAAAAAATAATCATATATTCAATATCTAATCTGCCTCAATTTTAACAGTGAACAGTGGTTTTCTGTCTGAAAACCACTCCAAAAGTGCCCTAAATGACAGCATACAGAAGTTCTCTGGTAGCTGCTAGGGTAGACATCCCTGTGCTCTCTTGCGAAAAGAAAGAATAACTAGTTTTGCTATGCAGTTATCCAATCTCAAGTCTCATCAGCTAGCATCCGAAAGATGACAGAAAAGCAGAAGCAACAAAAAGAACATTGCCAACAGTGAAGAATAAGTCATTCTAGCTGAGTCACTTAGAGGGAGTAAAACATCTGCAACAAATTTATGTAGCATACAAGAAATACGATAGAGTTGATTCACCAAATTTTTTCGTTTTCTTATCTCATATAGTACTGCAGCAACACTTAAAACAAAAATTAAATAAAATATAAACTTCAAGCAAAGTGCTATTTATAACCTTTTTTGCATGAGCATTTAACAGAAAAGGTATATTCCCAAAGAGTTCCCCAAAAAGACAGTCAAGTAACTATACAACTCTTGGTTACTGCAGAATAATTTACCAAAACACTGAAAGGCATCTGACACATACACCAAAGGGAAGGAGGGGAGAAATCAGCCAGCAATGCAAAGTATTGGTCACAAATTAGTTAGCAAGTATATTCTGAAATATGTATCTCAAGTAAAAATTCTACAGTGATCTGATCAGAGACTGCTGAAACATTAAAACAGACACAGAAAATTGCATAATTTAGTAGACTCATTCTGATGATGCTGGCAGGTAGCTGTGTCTAACGCACACTGACAAAGACCTTAAGAACAGCATTTATGGATCAGATACCCATCATTTTAGGAAGTTCTTCCAGCTGTGGAGTGCTCAGTAAGAAAAAGGCAAGTCAGTCTGTTAGCCACTGATCACAGGAGATGCTAAAGGAAAATAAAGACTGAACAATACAGGGACAACCAGAGACTAGTCAGACTCAAGCTCAATTGCTAATTAGAGACAATGCACAGTCAAGATAGAGGAAATACAGAATATCTAAACAAGTAGTGTAATTTAAGATTAGAAAATTTCTTCAAAGGTTTGAAAGAATAAGTTTGCTATTATAGGGGACTGTCAAACTGCTTAGGTTGTATTTCAAAAAGAGTCTTTAAAGTCCTTAATGATGAAACTGTGAAAGCTTTCTTACTACATATGTGGAGACCTCTACAACTAAGCAAGTTAGAGGTTTGGGACTACAAACTCCACTGGGTATTGCAGGGGGAACACAACACAAAACCAGCAAAGATAACATCTTAAAAACAAATCACAAAAAGGAGTCCAAGGATATTCCATCACTAGTTCCATTTAGAAACCAATGGACAGTCATATACTACAGCAAGGAAATGGTTTTGAAGTTCTAGTGGATTATGCAGAAAACCATAAATTAATTTTCTTCTGTGTAAACAAGACCGTGGAGTTACTAAAAAGCATTGGCTCAAAACCGACAAGAGTGGGAAATGTGTAAAGAATATGACCAAAGAGACAGAATTCTTTGTAATATTTTAATGAACTACACATTGCCATTAAACACCACCCTCTTTAAGCGAATCTATGGTAGCCCTGATAGTTCTGAGCTATGGTCGTGTGAAGTGACTGTCACAGCTAATTCCAAAAACACTGCTGTCCTGCAAGGCAATAAAAATTTTACCAGCAGCCTTCCCCTGGCACAGAAGATTGCAACCCCCCCAAATTCTCTCCAACTTCTTTCACTGAAGCATAAACTTACTTAAATTAGAAATGTACCCAATTATTATAAAGTCATGCAAAGATATCAGATTCACGAGGATCTCTTTACACTCCATCACTGCCCATGTGAACACGCAACAGGCGGGACACAGCACTAATGTAGCTAAACCAGAATGAGATGCTAATCAAACTGTTGCTTGATTCCACATTTCAGTCTTTTGGGTGTTATTTAAAGTGAAAAAAGGAGGCTAAAGACAATAGAATGTGCCAGTTTTCTTCCCTGTGACCACAAATGCATCACAACAGTCAAATTAGAGGTAGTAGGGGTTTTCCATAAAACACTGTTTGTCCATTCACTTGCAGTGTACATTACAACAGCTACTACTGACTACATGAGTTGTCAAAAAATCCTACACCATGTCAGCATGCTTCTTACACAATTGCATTCCAGTCACAATTTCAATCATATGCAGATTGCTGGTGTTTTTATTGCCGATATACACATACAGTTTCAATCACCCTCCTAGAGAAACTCAGCAAGTGATCATCAAAGTATAAAAATAAGAAAGAAACTTCAGGGACCAGAGGAGAGAAGTCTCAGAGTACAGTGGCTAACCACTTACTGTGAACTCACAGTAGCACTTAACAATGACCTCTTGCAAGGTCTTTAGGTCAAGTGTAACAAAGAGTAAAAGCTCTGAACACTTACTTGAGTGCTGTGCAAGGGCTCACTGCTGCAAAGTCTTTTATAGGCAGCCTTATTTGAGTGTGTACATCTTTTAAGTTCAGTGGGAAGTGCATCAAGATACTTATGTTTAAGTCTTTGCAGGAGCAGACCCCTAAGTATGGGAGGAGGTTATGGTCTGTTTATTTAAATAACACTTTTCTGAATCTGAAGAGTTGTTTTTCTTACCTGAAGTCTAGTATTCATTTCCAAGAAGTAGAAATTCTTACTGGAGTCCACAAGGAATTCTACTGTTCCAGCAGAGGAATACTTTACTGCTTTGGCAAGAGCTACTGCTTGTTCTCCCATTGCTCTTCGAGTTTCAGGGTCTAGAAAAGTGCTACAATACAGAAACAATGCCTTTCTGTAGTTAAAAACAATAATTATTATTCAGTCATTTCATCTTCTGCTTAAACTAGGGACAAAAGAGGACAGAATCATTATTTCAGTTATGAAAATGTGTCAGGACCGTCAAATGCATGTCTTTACATTTGTATTATCCCTAAGTAGATATACTGCATGCTTTACAATTATTTCTAATGTACAGGAAATTCAGGATAAATAACCATATTCTCTACAATGTAAAATAACAGAACATAACTCTCTTAGAACAGTGAGATCTGTAATAATGCAAATTAAATTTAAAAAAAAACAACCAAACATACAAATCCATGCTACTTTAGAAGGCATATCTATTTGCAAAAAAACTGTAACTAAAAAATCCATCCAATGGAAATATGAATGCCAAAATACAAGACAAGAGGTCTAAGGGGAATTTTTCTGAGTCTGAATTAAACCATTTAATTGATATTCTATGCAATCAAGAAGTTTTGGAAATTAATGAAGTATTTATTCAGGCTTCTTATGCAAGTAAGGTTGTCATAAAGAATATGTGAGCATCCATAATATTCAACGTAAACACTGTCAACACTATCATGACTTGAACCTTCATATCCTCTATTTACTCTTTCAACTTGTAAGCTGAAGATTAGTTATCCAGGTTGAGTGCAATTCTTTCTTTTCCACAAATCCTGGACACACTCAAGGGCACCTAAAGAGCAACTCATCTGCTACCTTGGGAGGCACCGTGAACACTGCACCAATGCCAAGCTTTCTCATTCTAGGAGAGCACCACGCTACTTCCACTGGTCCAGTGAATCCAGACTCTGGCAAGTACACATTCTGCTTCTTACTCTTCTCTGTACTCTCCTCTAGTAATTTGAGCTAGATATATTTCTGTGGCATTCCATCAAAGCTGTGAAACTGGTTGCCCCTCAACCCGATACGCTGATCTTCAATGAAAGACAATGTGCAGCTGTTAATCCTATAAAATATTACAAATATACTCATCATATTTCTGTTGTGACTTACATTAAGCACATAAGTCAGTTATAATTTTAAAAGTACTTTTGCAAGGGAACAGAAAGTTACTTCTATCTTTACCTCTAAGTTAATGTTTAAAACTAAAATGCCAAATGTTACGTATTTCTTGAGATGGTTTCAACAGTGAGCCCTAATTCTGTAAAAAAGCAATCAGGAGCCTCCACCTATCTGAAGTGTCCCTAAAGCCAGAGAAGCTCTATCTAGGGCCCAGGACTGCACTCAGACAGAAGCCAGGTTCTGAGACAGAACTTATCTTTCAATACTTACTGTGGTGTTTTTCACTGAGACCTGAACTCACAGATGAGCTAAAGATGTCTGGCACAACAAATCATATTTGACAGGACACAAGAAGTGAGCAAACTAGGAGACAGTGGAATCCTTTTCTTTACTGGAAAAGTGCTATTTCACACCTCTGTCCCTCCAGTGCCCACACAGGCAGATTCTGATGGACCGCAAGGCAGGCATTTCCAGAATTTAGGAAAAAATTTCTTTCTTGGCAAACAATAGGACCAAAAAAAAAAGGAAGTCAAGACTCATTCCAAGAAAGCTACCAGATCCTACATCAGATAAAAAGGAAGATCAGAAGATGTCAAAAACATGTCATACCTATCAAGAATAGACACTGGTAAAAGAGTTTCATAATATTTCTTATTTTGATTCAGTAAGAATATAATACAACACACAAAATCAGCAATTTATAATTCAATGTGGGGTTTCTGCAGGGCTTTGATCGTGAAAGGTCAATGAGTGGCTTATGAAGAACAGAACCTTCTCAATATCAGTTTCATAGTCTATTTCTAGAATAACCATTATTACTTCTCATACAGATTAAAGACAGTTACTCCCCTTTATTACAGAGATGTCTTCCCTATACTTGTTAAATGTAGGTCTGAGATCTCACTGTTCAGCTCCTGCTGTAACCAAAGAATGGAACACAGGTGTCACATTGCTAAACTTGATCTCTGCCACACAGTTAGGCTTTATGCTCTACAAATGATTCGATCATCCCTACTCTTGGCTTGGTTAATTAGCCAGTTTTCATATTCCCCTCTGCTGCTTTACCTTTCATATACATTGTTTCTCCCTTTTTTAACAAAGTACCTTTTATAACCAAAATAACTTCTCCAATCTAATTAGGCACCACTTAAAAACAGCACTTTAAACCTGACTTCAAATCTTTTGCTCACACATACACCTCTATCTTTCGACAGCTCCTATGGCAGCACTGAGGCTACAAAATAAAGATTCACAAGATAAAAGTATCAAAAAGAAAAATAAGATAAGACCTTACACTTCCCTCCTTAGAACGTCATCAAGCTATTGTATAGTTGATCAAGGGCTATGTAATTTGTTATGACATTGTTTCTATAGCCAGAGAGATGAACCACATAGGCACAAATAGTGCTAAAAAAGCACTTGAAAACACAGCTTTGCCCCCATATCTAAACAATGCACACCTACGAATCATGTACACAGCAACAAACAGAACAGGCTCATGTTTCTCGTAAGCCAAAATCCGGCAAGGATTTCTAGGCAAAGTGATAGGGAAATGCAGAGTCTGATACACATACATGCTGCACAACTCTAAGAAGAACTTCTAGATAGAGCCTAATTCAACAATGTACCCTTCTGCTAAGCTCCTGCCTACATACGCTCATTCAAATGGTCAATGGCTTCAAGTAGTACCTCAACCATTAAGTTGGAATATTATCCTGATGTACTTGACATCATAATGAGATCTTTCAGAGTTTAGTGCTTAGAGAAAGGGAAAGTCACTGCTTATGCATCTTACAAAAAAATTCCTGAGAGAAACTAACAATGGTGCATGCAAAGAAGGTCCCAACAATTCCAGATGTTTCTGTCACAGGCAGAAACAAACATTTGTAGAAACAAACATTTTAGTCCTTTGAACATATTTCAATTAAAAAAGATACCACAAAATTAACACATAGGATAGATTAGTCAATCTCAACTCCGAATGTATGCAGCTAGGATTTAAAAAATAAAAATAATTTTAAAAAAAAGCATAATAGATGAATTATTTTGTGCCAGAGACTAAACTTCGAAATTTTGGGAAATTGTTAAGAGACTATCCTAAAACCTTATTCTGAAAATCTTGGGTGCTAAGGTTTAACCTAAAGGACATGGAATCAATGCAGAAAAGTAGAGATAATGAAGGAAAATAAGCACACAGATAGCAATTTCTAAGGACTTGCCCACTACGGATGCTAATAGGGATCTTGCATGCTAGTACAGATTGCAGTGGCAGGGTACTGTTCCATCATTCCTTGTCCAAGGTAGGCCTGAAAATGTAGAGAGAAGGTTTAACACAGCATCCTGGAGCTCAGCATTTTGACATATGATGGTTATAGATCATACTTTGAATATTGTGTTCAGTTTTGGTACGCCCACTTCAAGAAGGACACCAAAGTGTTGGAACGTGTCCAGAAAAGGACAATGAAATCGGTGAAGACTCTGGAGCACAAGTCTCATGAGGAGCAGCTGAAGGACCTGGGGTTGTTTAATCTGGACAAAAGGAGGCTCAGGGGAGACCTTATTGCTGTCTACAACTACCTGAAAGGAGATTGTAGCAAGATAGGAGTTGACCTCTTCTCCCAGGCAACAAATGACAGGACAAGAAGAAATGGCCTCAGGTTGTACCAAGGGAGGTTTATGTTGGCCACTAGGAAAATTTTCTTCACAGAAAGGGTTGTCAAGCCTTGCAACAGGCTGCCCAGGGAAGTGGTGAATTCACCACCCCTGGAGGTCCTTAAAAGACATCTTGGGCTTAGGGTCTTGGTTTAGTGCTGAACTTGGCAGTGTTACATTTACAGCTGAACTCAACAATCAAGGATCTTTTCTGATCTAAACAAATGGTCCTATGATTCTAAGTGGTATTCCATGAAAATTGAACCATTTAATGTCTTCTACTACTACAGCAAAGGATAAAAGTGGATGATCACAGTGAGTTGAAGAGCCTTTGTGTGGCACTTCTCCATAATAACATTCCAAAATCTTAATTTTGGGCATCAAATAGGGCAGATAGCCAAGTGCCTCTGAACAAATGAACAGTTCTTCACCCAAGTGATAAGGCAAATTTAAAGGGCTTTAAGAGGATTCTAACAGGTTAAGAAATAGTTAAGACGTGCTCTCACCAAAGTGAAGTTTTAGAGCACTCCTTTTAGTCACTCCTCCAGTTATTGAATAGGATCTCAGTTAATACTCTTGTGCATTTACTTTTGATAATAAGGAATCAATGGATTTTCTGATAAGCTTATAGGCCTTGTTCCTCCCCATGAGAAATAATCTCTTATTAATCACTTTAGCAAACAGGAAAATACAGCCACACCCTTGCATTTTTTCTTGCCAAAGTACAGTCTCACAGCAACTGTCTCTGAAAATGAACCAAGAAGAGCTTGGGTGGCAGAGGAACAAAATCTGAACTAAGGAACAACAGATTAATTAATGTTACTCATCTCTTTAAATGTCAGCCTCTGTGGTGAAATGAGAAGACAATACGTATTCCAAAGCGTGTAAAACCAGAAGCAAATAAAATTACAGTACATCAAATGGAAGCTTTGGGCATCGCTAATTTTGCGCAGCACAAAATAAAAAATGAATGATGACTGGATGTGTCTTAATAAATGTGCTTCCCAGAACAAAGCAGGGCAAATGACCAACGTTAAAAGGGTGTAAGAAAAGTTTGTTGGTCTCCTAGATGAATCTGCGGGATTGACCATCACGGACCCCTGGAGGGATCCCTTGGATACTGTAACCCCCATCTGTGTGTGAACTAAAGGGGTTTCTCTCCTCATAAGAAAGAGGGGGTTTTGTTTGTTTTTAATAAAAGGCTGAACTTCCCTAAGAAAACTGAAGATTCAAACACAAAATCATTCCACAAGGACAAGCTCAACAGACTTAAAGACAAAAGGTCCTTGGTCTCTTCAATTAGACACTTAGGGAAATATTATAGGAATAGAGTAAATAAAAAAAGACTTGAGGTCAATGTCAAAAGCCCTAAATTGTAAAAGGAAAAAAAAAAAAAAAACCAACATTTTAGCCCATAGCATCCCTATCTCCTGGGTTTCATGAAAGGAAAAAAAAAAATATCTTTCGACCTATCTCAGAGATCTTAATGGCATCTACTACTTAGAATAGAAAAAAAGGACAGTGTATTTCTTCTATCCAGCTGTATAAGAAGAGGTGTGTCCAGGAGCCATTAATCAATCAGACTAACTGAAACAGCACAACATTCACAGGAAGGGTTAACTTGAGCCTTTAGTGTTTCTATGGTGTCTCACAGAAGTCAGTGCTCTGCAAGTCTTGTAAACCTTCGGAAATGAATGGATTCTGCAGCCAACTACAAGGGGACCATAAGGTAGGTAAGACTTTCAAAGCTGTCAACTGAAGTCTGGCAGAGTCTAAAACAAACAAGAAGAAGGAAGAGTTTTCACTCCAAATTTTGGAAGCTATTGACTTGACCAAACTCTTTTGTAGAGCTATAAAAGGGGATGAGAAAACTTACTGGCAACTCCAACAGAGAAGCCCAAGAAAGTTAAAAGGCTGATATTTCTGATGAAAGAAACACTCTGATCACAGCTGGCTGGTGAGAGAGAGACATATCACCCCCCTTTAATTGACCACAGGCATGGAGAATGAGCAGGCAGCACTGACAGGTATCGCCTTACATATGCTTATGAGGCAAAAGACACTCTTTTAAGTGCTTAGGTATATGTATGTGCACATGCACATTATAGTGGGACCTGAAGTATTCACTTTTCACAAAAACATGGTAAGATCTTTATACAAAAGCAGTGTAAGCCTTCAAAGAAATCCACAAGCATAAATACCATTTGGATGATGTGCTTTTCCTCACATCCCAAATTGTTGCATCGTAGTTCATCAAACCCATCTGAGCCAGTGAACATATTACACTGGGAATTCCCACAAGCAGTGATATACCCATGTCTGACTTCCTGAAATCAGAAGTTCCTGCCACCGTTTTTATAAACTTTCTCTCCAATTAATGCCATGCAACAGAAAACACAGTAAAACCATACCTAGCACAGCAGCAGGGTATTTCAGCTTCAAGTGAAAACAGTGAGATTAAGATCATTTAGCACTTCTGAGTTACTGGACACATACATCTCTAGTTCACTACCACGAATGGTACTAAACCATTCCATTTGAAAATGGAAATATATAGAATTATGTGGCCCTCTCACAATTACTCTAACATAGTCAAATATCTGTATCTGTAGCAAAATTCATACTTACTCCATATTTTATTTTACTTTTACATCCAAAAGTGAGCAAAGATCTCAGATATACTAAGAAAGCCATCTCATACCACATATATTTGATTAGTTAAGATCCAAATCCATTTTATACAAAATCATGAAAAAATGAGCTACACATTGTAAAGCACTGTCAAAACACTCTCAAGAACAACATCAGAACTCCATTACAATCAAATGACTATGATAAACATTTATTTATTTTCTTTGTGGTTTTTAATAAAATAAAATTTGCTTGCATTTGTACAATAAATAGAATCAGCAGCTTTCCAAAAGCACTTTCCATTATGACGAAGCTGTATCAATAATCTAGTATTCATACCTTGGTGCTTCCTCCACAACTTTCTGGTTTCTCCTTTGAATAGAGCATTCTCTTTCATTCAGCCACAAGGCATTACCGTGCTTATCTGCCAAAATCTGAAACAATAACACACTGCTATTAACAAAGATACGGACGTCTACGGTCTTTTGACTTCATAATATTATGCAGCATTTAGTTGTTCGGTTTCTTTGAATCTAAAATAGAAGTTGGAAAAAAAAGCTTATGGTGAAAATTAATTGTATGTGAACTACTAATAGAATGCTCCTTCAAATTCTGAATAGGACTATTCTAAAGCCTCTGAGTCTGTGCGTCGTAAAAAAAACACTTCAAAATATGATTTCTGATTTTTTGGGGAGCTTATTACAAAAGACTGAAATAAGATTAAAATTACATTTTTAAAGCATTTTAAGTTTGCAGTGCATTACGAAATTACACAAAACCATACTGTTAGGCAAAATCTTGTGTCAACAAAGATGAGAAAAACCTCCAAGGATGCCAAATTTTGCTCCTGAATTACACAAAAGAATTTTCAGAAAGAACCGCTAATGCAGCTTTCTTAGTAGGTGAACCACAGTGCCCTGTCTTCAATGAAGAAGAAAAAAAATCTTCAGAAACTTTGCTATCTTTTATTAAGGAGGAGAAAATCTGCAAGTTCCTTAGTAGTTTCAATGGAAATTAAAGCAGTAGTTTCGAGGAATTTTTTTATACATCAGGTATCAACTACAGTTCTTGGCTGCAGCTTCAGACCGTGGAAGAGGTAACGCAGAATCAAGTATCTAGATACAGCTACCTAAATTACACACTAGAAGAAAAACCACAAGTTCAGCACAGCAGAACTCCCAATTGATTCTGCAACTTCAAACTAGAGGGAGAAGTAAGAAAAGGAATTCTGTACCTTTATGAAATTGACGGTATGGTGCAGCCATTTCCAATATCCAGATACTAAATTTGAGGATTCAAGCAGACTTCTTCCAATCTTATGATGTTATACTCTGCACTTACTCTTAGAACGATTTCTTTCATTGCAGACCACACCTGCTCCCTTTCTTCCTTATAAAATTTTCCCTCTAACCCATTTTTTTCTCATCTATCTTCCTGCTCCAATCTGCGGGAACCCATGCCAATATTCATGCTTCATTCTTTAATAGTGCAGTTCTACACTGAAAACCAACAAGGTAAAACAAAGAGACAATCTTCCTCAAACTGTGTGAACTCAACCATATCTACTCACATTTGTGACAACGAATCTGTATTATTTATTATTCCTTTTAGCACCACAGAGTGAATACGGCACTAGGCAAGATGAATTCCTGCATCTATGCCACCAATGGTTGCTGAGGCGTGAATAATCTGGGTAGATGTGACTGAAAAGGAGGCAGTGAACGCAGGAGGAGAACTCACGTGTGCTGTGCAGCATCAGATCCAGGGTGCTCCGCGCACTGTAGGATCAGATGCATTTTTTTTCCCAGAAATTCTGTTGTGCCCCCATACACTTAAGGAGCTTTCTAGTGGGGGAGGGGAAAAAATAAAAAAAAAAAAAAGCCCCTTCAAAGAGGTCTAGATGACTGACAACTTCAGAATTTCCTAAACTACAGCATGTCCCAGAGCCCTCCTCTTCCCTGCACAGGGGGAGGTTTAGCAGCAGCAGCAGGGTGCTCCAGCCAACTGCTAGATTCCCTAACAGGGGACTCAGCACAAAGATTTAAAAAAAAAAAAGAAAAAAAAAAAGAAAAGAAAAAAGGAAAAAAGAAATACCCAGGTACTTCCTACCCAAGTCTTCACACATCCAATCCAGATGAGTGGAGCTCTACAGAAACTCATTTGGGAGATCCTAAGATTTTTTTGACTGTGTTTTTTTGTGTTTTTTTTGAAGTATTAAAATACTACACCTATAGAACATAGCATAGGACTCAATGGAAAAAATCACTGTCCTGTAAGTAGAATGATTCCCTATGAGCACTTCTGTTTCACTGTTAGAAAGCCCACATCTTTCCAGAGAATTCAGCATCACCAAAACAATCCAAGAGTCCTGGAATATTTCAATAAAAATGAGTTCCTGTGCTTCTCATTTTTCTGAAGAGGATAAAATTTCTCAATCTGAGTAGTAAATATTTTCTTTCACTTGAGGACATTTCTCATATCCTACTACATTTCGGCAACCTGGATCTTAAATAAATGTTTTTCAATCATTAGTTAATATGGCTCCAAGAGACATGCAGGAACATTTACTGTGAGAAGACAATTATAAATAGAATAAGCCAACAACATGTAGCATTAACCCTTTACTTTTATTCTGTGACCACTGTTTTTCTTATCTGAAACTAATCATACAACAATTGTCTTTCAGAAGATACTTGCAAAATACTGAAATCATCCTCTCTGAGGTGACATGAAATTCCAGTACACATCTCACTAAAAATGTGTGTCACAGATACAGCTTTTTTTTTTCACATATCTAAATATTTCTAAAAGAGAATTTCCAGTTCTGTGGGATTACATGATTATGACATTAGTATATGCTACATACATCTATATGCCAAAATAATTCAATATTATGTAGCGGAACCTCTCCCACATGATTCAGCTAAATTCTCTTTCCAGTTGTAGGATTGCTGTTTAGCCGAGTAATAGACAGTCCACATACTCTTACTTTAAATTCAGGTCCTTTTTATCAGATACTTCAGGAGAACAAACTTCAAATCAGTTCAAGCATAAAGTCTATTTGGACTCTATTTTCCTGTTAATTGTTTTAGTTTTTTCTCATGTTTTAAAAAGTGATTGTTTTATAGCTAGACACAGGAAACTCCTTATTTAACAATTTTAAGTACCAATGCTTTGGAGAAATATGAGAATGCTAAAAAAAAAAGTTCTATTTAAAAGTTACTGCTAAAGTAATAAATATTTGGCATCTGGTCTCAAATTGTTTGTATATTCAGCAGTTTGAAAATGAACCAAGGTCAACGTCCTAAAGCTGATTAGAACATGAAGTTAAAATGATATGCTATGATATTGTTAAAAGGTACCATCAAAGTGTTTGTGTAAGAAAAACATTCCCTGTACACTTATTATAAATACAACTATAAATCATTAATAGCAAAGACATTTTGTTTACTCTAAGTGAAATTATTTAACAGTTCTTAAATACAGTACTACCTAATTTTTGAGGTAACTTTTTAAACCCAAAGGAATCAAGACAACATAAAAATCTGCCCCCAGTTCATGAAAGTATAACTTAATTCATCTAACTTAATTCATTGAAGAATCAGTAGGAATCTGTTGAAGCTCCCAAATCTGCAAGCACTGAAGGAAGCAGATCTTTAAGGTGTACTGATTTGCATGCACAAAAAAAAAAAAATAAATAGGTAGCTGAATATTACTAGCCACAGCAAGAGAATACAGAAAGATGCTCTAGCAATCTGCTCTCTTTTGTAACTAAGATAAATGCTGAAACTTATAGTTCACGATATACCTTTCCATGACCTTTCAAAAGAGAATAAGGTGGGGTTTAAATTTCATTTTTACAGTTTCTTCATTTTGCTGTTTACAGACTGTTTATTTCAATGTTTCTCTTCTTCACTTCTCCCCCTCTACTCCTCTCTGGTAAGATCCTGCCTGGAGTACTATATCTAGCTCTGGAGTCCTCAGTTCAGGAAAGACACGGACCTGTTGGCACAGGTCCAGAGGAGGGACACAAAAATTATTATATGGACTGAACACCTCTCCTAAGAGGAAAAGCTGAGAGAATTGGGGTTGTTCAGCCTGAAGAAGAGAAGGCTCTGGAGAGACCCAATTGCAGCTTTTCAGTACTTACAGGGTGCTGATAAGAAAGAGACAAACTTTTATTCAAGCCTGTAGTGACAGGACAAGGGGAAATAGCTTTAAACTACAACAGATTTAAACTATATATAAGGAATAGATTTTTTTTTCCACTATGAGAGTGGCAAAACACTGGAACAGGTTGCCCAGAGAGATGGTGGATACTCCATCCCTGGAAACATTGAAGATCAAATTGGACAGGGCAATCTGATCTAGCTGAAGATGTCCCTTCCCACAGCAGTGGGGTTGGACTAGATGATCTTTAAAGATACCTTCCAACCCAAATTATTCTACAATTCTATGAAATGCAGTAAGTTAGCCTGTGTACATAAAATAAATAAAAACATCAGAAGTCCACAACAACACAGAAAGGCTTTATATTTTGGATAAAAATAAATGAAATTTCTGTGTAACAAGAGAAATTTCTGTTGAGGAAACAAAAATGCTTCATATAGATTTCTTGTCAGGAAGTATTATCTCAAGGCTAATGATGAACACAAAAATTTAGTTGCCTACATAAGATCAAACATATCACAAATTTTGAAATCTTAATTTTGTTAGCAAGTGTCTGAAAGAAAACTTTTGTTCTGCATTAGCATATGTGACTTAATGTTAAATCCAATAAAATGCATAAATGGTCACAATCCAGAAGTTAAAGAGAATACAACTGATTTTAAAACTGACCAAAATGGGACACAAATCCTCCTGAGTTCCCAGGGAGCATTAGATAGTTCAGAACAGAATCTAAAATACTGAAAAAACCACCTAGACCTTGCAAGAAAAATGTTAAGAACGGGAGTGTTTGAACTCCTACATCCTCTGCTGCACTCAAGCTCTCCAATAGGATCCAGAGTTCAAGCTCCATCCCTCAGGACAGATGCCTATAACTTTTTTTTCTCCCCCAACAAACTGAACACACTTCACAGTCTTCCTGCTACAGAAAGGCTAGAGAATAAAAACAGGAAGGCTGTATTGTGCATGATAGCCATGCAGTTTGAGCAATGACCCAAGACACCGGAAAACACAAGACTCTAGGCCTTTTTTAGTGGAGTGTTTGAAATGTTTTGAACTTTGATTCATTTATGAGTTCAAACCTTATTAAACAAATATACAATAATTAATAGTAGTAATAATAACAATAGCACAAACCTGTATTTCTATGTGACGAGGGTTATCAATGAACTTTTCTATCAGCAAGCGATCATCACCAAAACTTGAAGCAGCTTCTTGAGATGAAAACCTAAATCCTTCCCTTAAATAACAAAAACAAAAAGAATACTCTGTATTTAAAAAGTTAGATCAGCTCCTGAAGTATAAAGAAGGAATTTCATTTCAGTCATCTGGCTGTCTTCAACAGTGAACACACACACATTCAAAAACCAAGTTTTACCATTTGCATTTGATTCTGTAATGAGTATCCTTTTTTCTTGTTTTTCTTACAAAGACAAAAAAGCCCAAAACAACAAACCCAAAACAAAACATTCTTAAAGCATAGAAAATTTCAGTCTGTTTAAAAAGTCTGAGTATTTACAACACTTATTCATATGCATTTCCTTTGTTGGTATTTTCTTCTGCTAAAGTAATAAAATTTTAAGATGCAGTAATTACAAAGTACTTGTTGTCCAGAAGGTGAAGCTCACCATTACCTAAGGAAAACAGCCCTCTTAATACCCAAGAGCAGCAGAGGTTAGTTGCACATTAAAGAACTGCAAACGTGCCATTTCAGACATTGAAAATCCTACCTCAGAACACACAGCCTAAAGATGCGATACATCACTTTACAGAGCATACCACCTGGACTACAAGTTTTTCCCTGCATTAAGGTACAAGTGAGTGTCATATGGAATACTCCATACGCTTCCCTCTGTTTTCTCTTTTACGCATCTAGTTACTAAAACAAATAAAGATTGCAAAATATTATATTTCTTAGCTTTTTTTTATTTTTTAATGGCATCGTGACCTAACAAACAACTTCATGGACAGTTTTCTCAGGGTGAAACAGAACACAATGCAGGGACCCAAAGGCTCCACTGAAATTTTCTACAGGCTCTGGCATATTAGTGCCATTAATGTTGATATATATGGTAAGTTTGGACTAAATTTCTGTGGGAAACACAGCTTCCCTGACATTTGGGCCCAGAATAAGAACTACAGCCCAACTGAGTAGAAGTTTCCATGCTTTCCATCTCTTGAATCTAGTTGAATTCCACAAACAAAACCCAGACAACAGAATTACAGAATAGGTAAATTTAGAGTAGAAAGATTTGTATATTTAAAAGTATATCCTCACCTTCTTTCCCAATTGTGGAATAATACATGCTGTAATTTTGACAGATTATACTCAATGTACAATTTGCCTAAATTCATGTTTAACTTCAATATATTGAATTACTTAATAAAGAGAAAAAGGAAAATCAAAATTTGTGATTCTGTACACTATCTAATCTGTCCAAAAAAAACAAAGTTCTGTAACAACCAACCATACACAGTGTTTCTTACTGAAATACATTTACAGCTATTTTAACTCCTATATCAAAGGCACTGTTTTGTTTTGTAAATATTCTGCTGTCACACAGTTTTATGCACAATTATTCACAACTGACTTTTTTTTACTGAAGTATGTGCTAATTAGAAACCTAAACTGCAATACTTGTTTAAAAAATGCAGGTGCCTAATTATCTAATCCATACATTTGTAAATGTTTTTGAACCGTTTATAACAGGAACAAATATCTCAGGTATTCTGACCTTGTTTGTATCTTACAAAACTGTGCAGTTCCATTTATTCAGTGAAAAAAATTCACATAAGTACACTTCACTTTCCTTAGAGACCATACTAACCAAATGGAGACGGTTCTGAATCTCTTTATGAATATCGAAAATAAATAAATACATACCCAGCCAGTAAGGTTAGAAGAGATTGTGTCTTAAGAGCCGCCCCGGAAGAAAGATGCAGCACAACTGTAGCAATGCGTGCAATCATGTCCAAAACCTTCCTGCCCATGCTAACCCCAGAAAACAAGGGCATGGGAACTTGGGACAGGGAAACATAACCTTAATGTCCCTGGTACGGTTTACCAAACAAGCAACATGCCATGCCATCTGCAGCCTAATCAACTCCTGATACTTGACAAGGCACAGTCCTTGAGGCTGATGTGCCTCACCCATACGAAGACTATCACTGATATCTCTACGCTACAAGTAGAGTAAAGAGGAACTCTGCTCAGAGGATTCCTGACCAGGGGCTCTGTGCAGACCCACACTTCAAACACTACCCACCTACTACCACGGTTATCTTCAGTCTTCCAGTGCAGCCACCTGCACTAACCGAGGGGCAGAGAGTGAGGAGCATGGTCTGTCCATCAGGCACTCCCAGGCACCCCATGCTACGGGCACCCCAACTGAGCTGGTATGCAAGCAGCACAGCAGCAAACAGCAGCAGCCAGGGGGCTTTGGGAGGAGACTTTTGGTGGTTTCTCATGACGAGAAGCTGGTGGTACTTTTGACAGGAGAGCTGATTTAAGGTTTTTCTTAAGTTCCCATTAACTTTTACTGGCAGGTTTCTTTTGGTTTTTTCCCCCTTATATGCAGATTTGCTGCTTTCAGATGCTTCTGTTACTTTCTGCTAGAAGCTTGCCAATCAGGTTGAGCTTGGAACAGGGCGGATGAAAGGCCACCACAGCCCATGCTTAAGGCAAGCAGGAAACACCACTGCCTCTCCTCAGGGAGTCAGCAATGGTGGGGAGGAGGGAAGAAAAAAATAAAGTCAACCTTAAGCAGATGTACATAAAGGCACGTGACCAAGGAAACAGGAGCCAGAGCTGGCATGTAGACAGAACTGCAACATCCTGAGAAGAGCTAGCATGGTCACACAACTGCAGTGCTGCAATGAATGGTCTACCCAATTATTAAAACAAGCAAGAAAGGGCAGGCCAAATATACAGAACTCTTCTTGGGAAACAGCAAGAAGGTAAGAGTTGGAAGGTCTGGATCAAGGAAGAGGTCAGAAACAGTAATACTGCAGCACAAATTTTTTAACAGTTCACCTGCTCAAGCTGATAAAGGGGGCAAATTCTTCTTTAAACAAATCAAAGTCTTCAAGACCATGAGTGGCCAGGCTCAGAGAGTGGTGATGAACGGTGCTGCATCCAGTTGGTGGCCAGTCACTAGTGGTGTCCCCAAAGGATCAGTGTTGAGCCCAGTCCTGTTTAGTATTTTTACTGATGATCTGGACAAGGGGATTGAGTGTACCATTAGCAAATTTGCAGACGATATCAAGCTGGGGGGAAGTGTCGACCTGCTGGAAGGCAGGAGGGCTCTGCAGAGGGACCTGGATGGACCAGAGAGTTGGGCTGATTCCAATGGGATGAATTCAACAAGGCCAAGTGCCGGGTCCTGCACTTTGGCCACAACAACCCCCTGCAGCGCTACAGGCTGGGCACAGAGTGGCTGGAGAGCAGCCAGGCAGAAAGGGACCTGGGGGTGCTGATCGACAGGAGGTTGAACATGAGCCAGCAGTGTGCCCAGGTGGCCAAGAAGGCCAAAGGCATCCCAGCCTGTATCAGGAACAGTGTGGCCAGCAGGAGCAGGGAAGTGATCCTTCCCTTCTACTTAGTGCTGGTGAGGCCACACCTGGAGTGCTGTGTCCAGTTCTGGGCCCCTCGGTTCAGGAAAGACATTGAGGTGCTGGAGCAGGTCCAGAGAAAGTAACGAGGCTGGTGAAGGGACTCGATCACAAGTCCTGAGAGGAGAACACACACGGAGCTAGGTTTGTGGAATCTGAAACATAGCAAGGCTTTAGTGGACATTTAATAGCAGCCTTCCAGAGGAGCTTTCAAAGACAATGAAGCCAAACTCTTTATTGCAATGCACAGCAAAAAAATAAAGAGAGTTGCCATAAAATGAAGTGGAAGTTTCCAACTGGATGTGAGGACAAAAATTACTGGAAAGAATGGAGAAAAAGAGCAGACCGTTAAGGAAGGTTGTAATCTCAGTGCCAGGCCCAATGGGCAAAGCCCTAAGCAATCAGCTTCAAACTGAGTGTTGATGCTACTAAGAGGATAAATCTGGATGAGATGATGTCCCTAGATCCCTTCAAACATGCACAATTCTATAAGGGGGAAAACAGGACATCTCTAAGGTTCCCTCCTCTCTCTACAGTACATTTATTCATACTAAAGTTTGAGTTCTACAAAAGCATTTCTGATCTTGCCACAAGCCTTTCTGTGGTTGTCTGAAGTAAGACAGCTATGCCAACTTTCTGCCTCCAGTTCTGAGATCAGCAGTTCTGCTTTAATTAAAATAACAACTTTCTTTGGAGGCAGCCACACACTAACAACAACAGACATCAGTGAGATGCTTCAGATACAGGCATTTTTCAAACCTCTTCAGGTCACTGCTATATTGAGGCAAAGGCAATTCTATCACAACTATTCCCTGAAAGTTACCAATTCATTAAAAAGTACACACGTGTTTTATGCAACCGAACAGTTTTTGTACTGGAGGAGGACAAAAAGGGATGAGGGGAGAGGATAAAAAAAAAAATTCAAGCCTTGCACAATGTTTCCAACTCTTACATTCCTTTTTTTCTTTCCCAACTCTAAGTCACCTGAAAAATGCCTAAAAAACAACATGTTTCTAGTCGATGGGCAACTTATTTAATACCAACACTAACAAAATGGCAAAGAGCCAATTTCTTGTATCACAACTTATGTCTTCATATTTTCTCTTTTTGACATATCCTTGTGCTGTATATACCATACAATTTAAGTCACTAACAATAAAAAGTCATTGTTGAAGCTTTGTGCACTTACGTGATGGTACTACGTGATCCAATCCCTGAACACAGGAATCACAGGATATGCTGAGTCAGAAGGGACCCACAAGGGTAACTGAGTCCAATCCTTAGCCCTGCACATTATTTCTATTAGAAATAGTAGCTGAAAGGTAACAAATTTTAGCTGTAGTTGTAACAATATAATAATTATAGAGGATCTAGAACAATTGTCATTACTTGGCATATTTAAGGGATGTGAAAGATGATGCACCAGTAAGTTGCCAGTAAGTTTCTCTAACAGTAGCAATTAAATTGGTCACATCCATCTTTTCCAATTCCAGTGGCTATTTCCATGTCACGCCACATACATTTAAGCCTTCTTATACCACACATAACCAGTTCAAACAAGAAAGTTTTTCAACTATCCTGAAAATCCAAAAGTATATTTCAAACATGGAAAAGTTCTTCACCTGGAGTGGGGTTGGATACTGGAACAGGCTCCCCAGGAAAGTGGTCACAGCATCAAGCCTGTCAGTTCAAGAAGCGTTTGGACAACACTTCCAGACATACAGTGTGTTTCTTGGGGTTCTCATGTGCAGGGACAGGAGTTGGACTCAATGATACTTGTGGGTTCCTTCCAACTCCAGGTATTGTATGTTTCTATATAAAGGTTTCTTGTTTTCATATAGTATTTTAAATTAATTCCATGAGACAAAGCCAAAACAAATTTACAGATCAAAATATTACCAACAGTTCTTCACACTCACCTTGCACCTGTGAACTCTGAAATGCAACAGACCATTCAGATATTGGCTTTTCAAAGTCTGCTCACAGCTGAAAATTGGTTTATTTTTAGGATTACAAGGATCTGGATGCAGGAACACTATACATGAGATCACGAACTTTTTATGCAATATTAAAACTATCAGATACATTATTTTGTCAGTAGAAGTTCAGTCACCTTCAACAGTGATGTTCCTCTTCAGATACATAAATAGGAACATTCTTAGTTCCATAACATATCTAAAGAATACATACAATAAATTTTTTACAACCTCACAGGTATTTCTTCAACACAGACTGGAAGATAAACTGAAATGCTCTTCTTCATATTTAAATCCAAAGTAAATCTGTTTGTCTTCAAGTTCTCTTAAATCTCACTTTCATCTTCCTGCAACAAATATTTTGTCAACTTAATTTTACCTACCCATAAATGTTAAAATAAGTATTTCTTCTTGACACAAGCTCAGTAAACAGTGTTGATCTGTGACTATCTCAGTGTTCCTTCTCTTAGCACCTTTTAGAGACTATTCTAATATTACATTATAAAGACAAGGCTTGCATAACTAACCAAGAGGATTATTATAAGAACACCACTGGTAAATAATGAGCTGAATGATACTTTGTGGGTCCCTTCCAATTCAGAATATTCTACGATTCAAAGGCTTTCCACAAACAAGGCAAGCAACTCAAATTATCATCACTAAATAGGATGGAATCAAAGTAATATCACTCAATTAATTTAGTGATATTCAAACATACATAAAAGAATATATCTAGCTAGTTTCTATTAATACCAATCAGCTTTACCAGGTGACTTTCTAAACAGTAACTACAACTTTTCACCAAGACAAATTGGCAATTGTGATTTTAGATCCACTTTAAAACAGTTACTTTTATCAAGCTCCTTTGCTCCTTTCTGAACAAAACAAGAAACTAATGCTTTCAAGTTCAAGAGATGCAATTGCCGCCTGAATAAGATCAAGGTAACAACTTTGGATTATAAAAGAGTAGGAAGGAAGCATCCTTATAAGAAACCTGGTTGTTCTAAATTATCATTCTAATGAATGCAAACCTTCTTTTTCTATTTACATTTGAATACGAATGGACTAGAGGTAACAAGGTACAAATAAGCCCACCATGTTTTCTTTAAATCTAAAATTTAATTGCTAGACACTCATTGGTCTTTTATCCAGATTTTAGGTTTTGGTAAACATAAATTTAATAGGGGACAGAAAAATGGCATGGAAATCTTGCAGGCAACTAAATTAAATTAATGAAAATTTCAGTTGTATTTTGAGTTAATTCCAGCACATGTGCTGCTCTCTGTGGAAAGGAAAACAGTCAGGTTATTTCAGATCAAACAGCTTCTCATTACAAGTCTTTGAAAAAATCAGAAAATACATTTTTCTGTAAGATCAGTGGCATGTGGAGTTGAGAATGGATTGCAAAACTTCGAACCAACAACAAAGCATCACGAACTGCTCAGGATTCAGACAACCACTAAGAGACACGAAAATGTCCGTGTGTTTAAACAAATGTTGTTTCAAAACAGACAAAAGCACAATAGTTTGCTAAGGCAAATATTTTAAACACAGAAGTATGCAATTTATTAGAGCACATTCTGGTAACACCGTATGTGTTTCCACACATGAATTATCAGTCTCATCAACTTTAACAGAACTAATGGCATGCATTAATGCTTGCAAATCACGGCCAATAAATATTCTCACTAAGAGAGACAATTAAAAAATCAGCATTCTGAAAGGCATACAGCAAAATATTATTTACACTCTACATTTACAGTCTCGCACTGGATTAAAGGCATTTGTAAGTGTTGGTTTTTACACAAATTAATGGACCATATTTTGTAAGGTTTATGCGAGAATTAATTTGAAATAGGCACATGCACAACTTCTGAAGTATACCACTCACTATGTGAAAGGGAGAAAACCAAATAATATCCAATTTCTCTGTCTAACATTTCGTATCTGCTCAACTGTCAGCTCACAGTGGCTTAATGGGACTTTGGTAACTGCAGCATTCATCAAGGCAAGCTTTTGGACAGCATCTCACCTGGTCTCTTCATCATCCCAAGCGATTCTCATGCCTTTCCCACCACCACCTGCTGAGGCCTTGATCATGACAGGGTAGCCTAACAGCGGGGAACAATTAGACAGAAGTTCAAACTTTGTTCAGTTGGTCAGAGGAACATGACAACTGACCACATGTCCAATAAAGCCAGTAGACAATAACTTCGTTTATTAAAACACTTTGTTTGGAGGGAGAACAGAGGAGAAATTTTTCTTTTCAGAACTTAGCTGTCAAAGCAGTAATTTCTAAAGCCAAGAAAGGCTGTCTTCTCCAATTCATTTATACCAAAAAAACACTGAATGAATTATTCCCAAGAAACAAAGTGATTTATGAATAAAGCATTTGACCTTTTTAAGCTCACATCTCTTTATGAAAAAAATGTTGTTCCTTTATTGCTGCTGAAATAAGCTGTGACAAAATTTTTCAAAAAATTAATAGCAAAAATAAGTAGATCTTCATAAATTAATAGTAAAGAGATTGAGTAAGCAGTTCTGTATCTTATCAACACTTCTGGTACAGTACATTTTAAATAACAGAGCATCTCAAGAGCACTGTTGTTTGGCTATTACAAAATTTAATCGGAAAATAGACTATTGCCTGTTGATTTTTTTTTTAACAACAAAAAAAATCTTCCCCAAATAGACAAGTAGTAAGAAAAAATGAGCAATATAGTTCTGACAGCATTGTACATAACTGGCAATATTTTACTCTCCAAATAAGATACTATTATACAGATTTGAGTCAGGATCTTAGTTTACTGAAAGCTAGGAAATTACAGTAACAAAGAACATGTGAAAAGTAGATATAGTAATTTAAAAGATTTAGAAAGAGTAATGATTGTTTATCTTTTCATACAGTATCTGTTCATTTAAAGCAACTTCCTGAAACAATTTCTTCATATTGGAAAACTCCACCTTTCTCCACGTGAACATACAGAAAACTGAAAATCAAGGATCTAATTAAAAAGTTTTTGGTGTTTCCAAGACAGTAAAAAATTCTTAATGCCTTTGGTCTCCAGTATGCTTAATCAAAGTCACAACACCAAGGCAAATATCAAACCAGCTGATATCGTCTGGCAAGAAGAGTCTATTAGTCCTTGCAAACTGAAGATTTATTTTGTAAAAGGCTTTGATCTGGGGATGGAAAGCGACATTTGACTATGGTTCTTAGAAGCGGTCCACTCTGCTATCCTATCTGTAACTGACTTTACAGTTCCTTTCTGGAATGCAGATCTACTCTTGCTTTGTCAAGTGACAGCAATACAACACACCCACCTCCTCCCCATAGTCATCTAACTGAAAGGAGGTTCAGGAGAAGATACTGAAAACAGCAAGATCTGGAAAAGCTTTTTCTTAAAAAGACTGAAATGGACACCAAAAAAAGGCATGATATAAGGGTAAGAAACAATAATATTGATTGGAATACAGGAAAGCAGCAACAGTACAAGAGAACAAAAACAAAACAAACAAAAAAAATCCATGAAGCAGTTTTCAACGTAACACCTTATTAGACTGTGAAACCCCCACGCTGTAAAGCATTCATGTGGCTGAAAGCTGTAGAGAGGTAATAATTAAGCATATGTAGAGCACAAATCAACTTCCAAAAGGCTACAAATCTTCATGCTTTGAAGTCTGAAGTGATCTCTAGTTATTAGGTATAAGGGTAAGACCAAACAGAGCCATGCAAATAACCTTTCTAGAGTCTTTTTCTTACGAAATCTGATGCTGTCCACAGAGGCGTACAGGACAAGTCACAGAGTAAAAATGGGTTTGATCCAGAACTATTTAGTATTTTCAAGGCCTCTACCATCCCAGAGATTAAAGGGTAAAGGCAAAATAATACTAGATGGCATACAGCAACAGTGAAGTTCAACTGATTTTCATGAAATACAGTAAATGTTAACATATACATACAGGTAACACTAGCAAATGTAAGCCTCTGGCAACACTGTCACCATCTGGAGACTCTCTCCAACCTAAGAGGTTGCAAGACTGAAATTTTAAAACGAGCATTGTTTCAAGCCTTATTATGGCAAACTCACTATGGCAATTTCCATCACCTAATCTATCTTATTCAGAGTTACATGTACTTGAAAAGAATCATGATCAGTTATGCTAACAATCTCAGTCTAACAATATCAGTCTCTTGGATGGTTTGCTGATTTTAATTCTGTAAGCAGAGTCTAGTCCTCATTTTCTGTTCTTTAGTTTCAAAAGCAAAATAGGCAGGTTGACAGTGAGCCTTGGAGAGGTTTTATATGCTACAAGATGTAGCTCAATATATCACATGGTCAAATTATAAGATAGATGTATTATTAGTATCGCTCACCAAGTGTAAGACAATTGTGCTTCCCATCCCTCCCACCTTTCCCATACAGCAATTATATGTCAACCACACCTGTATGCAAAGCAGCTAAAGATTCGAGAGAGCCACAAAGTAATTAAAAGTAAAATGAATTTTAAAAACAAACAAAACCCAACCAAACAGAAACAAACAAACAAACAGAACAAAACAAAGTAAGGCTTGTTTTGAAAAGATACATACAGCTTTTTAGGTTAAGAAGGAAAAATTGCAACCTCTACATGTTAGGATGTAAAGTTACCCGGTCCCCTAAAAATAAGGGTAGTTGAGGTTTTGCTCAAATATGCCTTTACATACTCCTTGCTCTCAGGGGCCCTAAGCTGAAGAGCAGCTCTTTAGGCAATACTAACGATTGAAAGGAAGGCTTTGCAAAATTTAAGTTTTGCAAACAAATCGGGTGCAGGATGCTGGGATCAGGATGCATTACTCATCACTCTCCTAACCCCTTTTGTACTACTCAGCAGCAATCAAAACTGCTGAAGTATGTTCACATGGATTGGTTGGATTAGTTGTGGGAAGGGAGAAGCACACAAAAAATTTTTAACGGCATTTGTAAGTCTCCACAACAACAGCAAAGAGTCTCACACAAAGCAGACACATATTTGAGTAGGTGTTAGGTTTTCAATGCTTCCCTCAAATTAGATGCCAATTCACATGAAATTAAAATTGCTTGCAAGATTAAAACCTACTCTCATTATATAGTTTTACATTCTTGTGATGCATCTGAAGGATGGGTCTAAAGATCTTAAAAGGCAAGCAGGTAAGAAGCTGTCAGATTTGAAGATCACTGGGCATACTTTTGCTGTTACATAGGTACTATTAAGTTAGGACTGCTTTGTTTCCAGGGCAGTTGCTATTCTGAGAATCTGAATGGTGAAAGGAGTAAACAAACTTCTAGTGTCCCGCAGCTGTTAGTTCCCACCCTTTGCCACCACGGGTTTAGATGCCATTTAACCATTTTTATAAAGTTGCAGGTAGTAGACCACAGAATGCATTGTGCAATATCAGTTTGAACAATACTGCATGTGGCAATATCAGGTTCTTTTCAACATCCATTACTGAAAAGTTAGCAGTAACTAAAGCCATGACAAAACCCGACTTCTTCACCTCTTCAGTTTTGTACAGACTTTCCTTTATTTTAACTGATTGCACTGCATAGCTGTTCAATCCTTTCAAACAGAGGAATAAAACTTCCTGGAGTTTAATCGAGGTTTCAGAAATCAAGAAGCCAATAGTTCTTAATGTACGACTTTACAAACAGACCTAAAAGCAGCATGGGAAAAAAGCCAATGTAATTAATTAAGCATTACAGAAAGGATTACAAGAGAACAGCCCACACCAAAAAATAGAGAAGGATGACTGTAGAAAGGAGCCTATACAGCAATTTGTGCCTGAACTTCTTCCAATTCCTGATTTAGCCTAGTATATCTGTCACATTTTCTCATGACAACTCAGGACCGCGTATCTCAAATCAAGGGCAAAAATAAGGTTTTATACCTAGAAAATTTGTAGCCATAGATAATAATCACTGAAACAGGTAAAGGTAGTGTTCTTACCCCTGAAGTGTCATGGTTAACTACTACTGAATCTTTGGCCTGAACAGAGCAGGAAGAAGCAGGAAAAAAATACAGGCAGTAAAAGAGTAAAACCACTGTTTTAAGCATTGACCCGCAGTTATCATCTCAGAGACCAAGACTCTGGATAAGTGAAATTAAAAACGATCTGAAAATATTCCTTCACATATCAAGTGCTTTATACACAAAGACAAATGCATTATATACACAAGAGATTATAATTTCATTCCACTTTAGATCCTTCAAAATCAAAATCACAGTTTTATTATGATCAGTGGTCACAATTAGACAGAAGTTTAACCAAACTAATCAACCGGCTGAAACGTGTGAGGAAAAAGCTAGAAGGAACATTTCTCTTTTGCTACATGGCATCACAGTACAAAATTTTTTTGTATCAAAACAGTTTCAAGAATTTTCCATCTAGATAAAGCACAGGCCAGCTGTCTGTAATTGACTTTAGTATCACAGATTTAAGACTGCCTTGATATAATGACCTCCAAAGTGCTACTGATATCAAAGACAGGAACCAGTGAACAGAAGAAGTGAATTAAACACGAATATTTTTAAAGGGTATCTAGAAAGCCACTGCATGCCTTTAAACTTACATTCAACAAAACGGTTTTAAAAACACTTGCAGGAAAACACAAGAGCAAGACAGACTATTGAAAAGAAACTGAACTGAAACACAGTCATAATACTTTAATTCATAAAGAGTCAAATGCCTTTACTCAGAAGTAAAACCAATTTTGGGGGGCAACTGAGATTTATTTACAGTTCTCTTCTGAATGTTCCAATCTGGTTGATAACCTCTTCCTTTTGTTTCTCTCCCATGACAATGACCAGTGATCACTCCATTTCCCAACAAGGACACAAAGGCTGACCCATAGAAACACTGGCTTCAATTATGTCAGCTTAAAAGTCAAACAAGCCTGCACTGAGGGGTTTCAGGGCAGTTAACCAGTGCAGAGTAAAGGCCCCAACTTAAACTCAAAGTGGAAAGATCTTACACTGATTAAAAGTTATCTGCAGCAGTGCAAGTCCCACTTCCTATTTGGCACAGCCTTTCTAAGGCACACCCACAGCTTTTGACACAGGTGAAACATATTTGCTGCTAGATCAGCAAGAGAAGCTTCAAATGTAGGTAACTCCTTTGAATTATGTACCTGTGATAAACCTAAATAGTTTCTAATGGTTACTGTCTCAAAGTGAAAATGAAGGAAAAATCCCAAGGAAAATCAGAAAAATCTTACTGCCTTAGATTCTTCTTCTAGCAACCATTTAATAACGTGTAATTTCAAGCATATGGTTTAGTATTTTCCCTAATATAAGCTTTAGTAAATAAAAGCCAAAACTCATTAAACACATATTACACTTAACCTTCATCAAAATGAGTCCCAGACAGTTTGCTGGTTGCTCTTTTCACCATTCTGTAAGATACTCAGAAGCTGAATAGTGACTTTATTCCAGTAAGCACAGAAGAAAGGCTGGTGCTCTGGATGATATTCAAGCTAACTGCAGTCCACACACTAATGAAGAATGAAGATCATAACATCACTGGTGTCAGCCTCCATATAAAGAGAAATACAGCATGCCTAACTTCTGACTATCATGTCTAATTGCAGATATACTTTGAAATAACTCCTCCAGTGAGCTATTCATTACTGCCTATTACATGCCTTCCACAAATCATGGCTGCACTTGTTCTGTAAAGTCCAGTTTGAAAGCTCAAATGTGATGATTTAAGAGACAGGGCGTTAATGTCTAGATTCTTCCAGCCCCACGGGCAACAGGGAACTTAAAAACTATTAAAACATTATTTGTTCTATAGGGATTACTTATTACACATTCAATTTAGTCAACCATGTCTGCTGAGAGGCACACAAATCCCACCATAGCTAATTTAAGAACTTACCAATTTCCCTTGCAATTCTGACAGCTTCATCTGCATCCTGTAAAAGCAGGAAATGAGACCCAACGTTAATCCCATCAGCCATTGCACTATGTCCTGAGGGCAGTCATATATTGCACTACTGTCTCCTCCGATTCATTTAATGTTTGATTTTACAACCTTCTGACCCTTTTCAGCCAGAGGAATGTAAAATTAATACCATAAGTGGAATGTAAATTCTACCTCATCATTAGTATACTGAGAAACTCAAAGCAACAAGGAATCAGCTGACAGGAAACACAACCAGGATCGCAAAATGATTTTCTGCAGTTGTAGGAATTTAATGCTAGAATTTAGAAGTTTACAATCAATAATGGACCATAAATCAGATCGTTAAAGTTTGTCCACCACCAGCTTGTTTCTGTCCCCACCGATATTTCTTGTGCTTTCCTGGCTGCTGTCAGTAGGGGGAGTTGATTCTCTATTGTTTGGGAGTAACTCAAGTACAGGAAAAAAAATCTTGCAGGACTTCTTTAAAGACAAATGGGTTTTGTTTACTGAAGAAAGAACACAAGTATTTCAATTCTGTAACTTCTGCATTCTGAATACAGAATAAATTTTACATGAGCCATTTTAAACTGTATCTGAAAGCAGAAGATCCCCATAATTATTTCCATTTAAGAGTCACCATGTTACTGGCTTAAGACAATTTTAAAAATCCTTTTGTTGATGCCACCTATTGCTTCAGCTGCCTCATAATACTGTGGCCTGGTACAGAAAAAAGTATGGGAAATTCAGAGAATAAAAAACAAAATACTTGAATTGCTTACTTTTCAGTAACCAAACTGCTTCTCCTGCAGTAGTCAATTCTAGTTTCTTCTACTGATAACAATATATTCTCATTATAAAAAACCAGAAAGAAAATGGGTTAAATTATAGTGGCATGGGTTAAGTTCGAAAATTCCATCCAAATTTGCTAATATTTATACTATCCCATGACATGCATTAAAAAATTTGTATGGAAGGCAGTAATGTCTGGAAATCACCAGCTGCTAAGTGTGTCTGAAACTATGGGGGCTGACTTACGAACATTAAACTGAAACCTGATATTTTTAAAGCTTTCAAGGCAATCCGTTTTAAAAGCACCCAGGTCAGAACTTTAAAAAAAATACATAAGAAATGTTCATACCTGGTTCATTTATGTCCGATAATAAAACAAAATCCTCTTTAAAAGTCTTCAGTACCTAGTAACAGCCCCATGAAGAATAAGGGGGCTGGCAGGGGAAGTTGTCAGAAAATTTAATTTCCTTTCATTAGCTAGTCTGCTCCACAAATCGGTGCTTGTTAAGTTCAAAGCAGTCCTGAAAGCAACATCAGTTTTAAGCCTTTTTACTTCAGTCACATCTGTTAATGAGATTTTTCCAAATAACAATTGTTTTTAAGTCAAGAGATAAATCTAGCAAAAAAAAAACTAAACCCCCCCCTCCGAAAAAATCTCAGGGTTTACTGTTTTATTACACCTTGCTGCTTTCCATGACCCTGCACCCTCCAAATTTTAGCTAAAAGGGATAAAATGCATGAAAAGGGTCATTTAAGAATGTTAGTGGTTTCCACACATTGAGTTTGAAGGTTCTTTGTTCCTGCCTGTGACAGTTATGCGAGAATACTTCCCCTTAATAGCCTCTCTGTCAGGAAGTGTTAAACCTGCCAAATGCAGACAATTAGAGCCTCTTGAACAAAATGCAGGAATAGTGATGACTGATGAAGAGCTACGATTATAGTCGAGAAGGAAACTTTTACATTTCTTTTCTCTTGCAAATTCACCCATATATTTGCAAAATAGAATTAAGAGGGGGGGAAGCAAACAGGGTAATTTTTTTTCACTTAGTTACCTGCAAACAAGTGGCTAACTGATACACTGCAGTCCACAGGAAGACAAGCTGCAAATCATTACAGGGGAACTTTTCACTGCCACTGTATTTTTATACATGCATACAACAACTTTAAGTAATAAGCGGCATCGTATCAGCAGCACTAATTGTCTCAATTCTGGTTTGAAAAGACTGAAGTCATCTGCCCAGCACAGTTATCAATTTACACTGTTTCAACATCTATTTCTTTTATAGTTCTAATATATTAGAACCCAACACCAAGATACAAGGGGGGGGGGGGGGAAATCAATGCATACTCAAATTCTTTAGCCTTCAAAGAACATTTCCAAACCAGGAAACAAAAATATGCTGTGCTTTAGAGAGAAAAATTAATGCACAAAAAAACCCCAACAACTGACATATTGAAGTCTCTGGTAAGTCTTTTGATCTTTTGCCCTAAGAAAGTATGCTTTAGTATCATGAATTCCACTTGCAGATTACATTAATACAGAATCACTTTGAGTACTCAGAAAAAGTTTGGACAGTTATTTTATATTTTTGGTGCACAGAACTTACAATTTTCAACATTTGCCCAAAGAGCAAATAACTGAATGCTATGACACTGCCTAACACACAAATCCATATGTGCAAAATATACAAAGCCACACTGGTACTAAAAGCATTCTGAATTATTTTTTAAAAGCAAGAGTCGTCAATGATTTACTGCTGTTTCCTCCAAAAACACATTAGCTACACTACCATTTTCCCAAAATAAACTGGAGACTGTAAAGAAATATATAATTTTAGCACCACCTTTTATTGTACAAATAAAAATGTTCAAGTAATGGTAGAAGTTTATAAAATTTCTAAGAGTTATAAAATGATGTCATACTGTTTTTACAAATAGGTGATCCCATTGAGTTAAGGATACATAAAATACTCATTTAGCATAAGAATTCCTAACCTCCAAATTTCATGTACATGCCTCTCAGCCAGGTACCAGCAGGTGGAGACAGAAAAGCAAAACTGTTCTTGATGTAGAGGAATGCCAGGATAAAGTTGTTTTTTAAGAGACTCCTAGAACTGTAAAACATTGCATTAATTATGAAGAACTACACAATAGTTTTCATGGCTGAGGGTCCTGGCCTTAAGAGACCCTCCAGTTTATGTCTAGTCTCCAACAACCTCTTCAGCAATACAATGATAATTCAATCCCAATGCCAAAACCTAACGCAAAAATTCAGCCAAAACAGGTGCCCAAAATTAATGTTAATTACAGTAAATTCAGAGCCCTGTTGAAGACCTTCAATGTGTCTACTGACATCAGTGAAACTAAGTAGACATGCAGAGACATTATTCTTCTGGGTCTACATCCAGCTGTGTTCTACCAGCCATAAAACCAGACTGTATGTGGTGAAACAATACAAAAAATCATTCTTCCCCTGCCATTCCTTTGCCAGTTTTTCACCATGACATGTCCTTATACTCATTACTCAGCATCTACTTTCCTCTTGTCACCTATTCCCCTTTACTTATTTACAGTCAATACATCATCTGAGCTCCAACTTGAGTACAGCCATTGCTCACAGGATTAATGATAATTCTTTTGATTAAGACTGTTTACCACTACCTCTCCCAATCAGGTTTTAGAAAACTAATTGTAGTTACACATTGTGAAATTAATTACTTTCAAATGCTTTTGCTGGCTCTCTAGCTGACAGCACGAGACTTTGGTTTCTTACATGTGTAGACTGGATAACCCTTGACCCAGACAACTGAGAAAATGAACCAGGGATGAGAAGAAAATTACTCTTCATAAAACTGCCCTCTCTACTCTCATTCCACATCTTTCCATTCTCAGGTACATATTTCAAATGCTCAGAGCATCTCCCTGTACGAGGATATTTAATTCTGTCTGTTATGCCAAGCATCCTCCTCTTCAACCCTTCCAGGTCTTTCAATATACTGTCAAAGGGCTTCCTTCTCTTACATTTAATTTCTACTCACTGGGAATTTTCCTGCACACAACTTCTCCAAGATGTTATTACAAAAGCTTAGCAACTACAGTGTCTCCTATGTTTAAGCGCTAAGCAACATAAACAAGAGAGGAAAAACATTCTTTATTCATGAAGGACCTAAGTATCTGCAGCACTATTTAACAAACTCTTCTAGTAACAAAGATTTTCAGTGCAGTCCCGAGTTAAATAACGAAGTTGAATAACACAAAGTTATTACTCTGTGTTTGCTTTAACTATTAATGCACAAAGCATATGTGTAACAGATCTGTCTTAATTTCTGGCATTATCAGAGGCATCAATACAGTTTTCTTGTAGCTTTACTGGAGTCCAATTTAAAGATGAAGCCATCTATAATCTACTCAAGTGTAAACCAGACATTTAACTCCTTCCAAAAACCTTTAAAATTTTTATTTCTCAAGAAACAAAGCCCTCAAAGGTTTTGAAAGCTTCGTAACTGATCAAAACAGGTCTCCCAGGAATGGCAGAAATCCTAAATAGTCTCCAAGTCATTGTATGTTACTCCTCTGAGGCACATATTTAGATCCATAGCAAGTACAACAATATCAATTATCAGAAGCTTCATTTCCTAGAACTGGTAACCAAAGCACTGGTTAACCTAAAATTTTCAGCTCCCATTTCTGATGGAAACTACAATGCCGGCAACATCTGTGGACTTCCCTTTTTCTTATTTGGTGGGTATACTGCAGGTTGTTTTTTGGGTTTAGTTATGTTTTTTTTCTTTTCAACAACACTCTTCAGATAATTAGAACTGGTGCAAGGCTGAGGTATGTGAAACTGATATGATATGGACACCTTGGGGTTAAGCAACTACCACATAGTTCCTTTCAACAGCAGAGGATTGGAGTTGTCAGCTCAATCCTACATTCCAGTTCATTTGGTTTTAAAGGTATCATTGCATATAGTCCATTGCCAACCACATCACTCACACTTTTCATGTTAGGAATTTCAGATAATTGTCAACACAGTACAACTGAAGGTTTTGGAAACAACTGCATACAAGTAAGTAGATCAGTTTCACTGGTTCTATGTCTACCTGTTTCATTAACCATTATCCTACTTTGTCAGGTTTGTGTCTTTGTACCAGAGGAATAACACACCTTTACATAATATTTAACTGATAAAGTGAAAAAAACAGCATTTTGAGTATTTTAGTCTGCACTAGAGAAAGCTTTGTGGTACTTAAATAATTAATTCAAAGTTATCTCCTAATTAGATGTTTTTCTACAAGTTATTTTTCAGGCTTTCTAGAAGGAGATACAGGATGTCAGGTAGAATAGAGAACATTATACACAACAGCTTGGCTGCTGTTAAATGTTATGAGTGCTAAAGGACCACATACACAAGGACTGCTAAAACATATAACAAAAATCTGAAAGAGTACTGTGTTCAACTTGCCACTGCCAGACTTCAGCATGGGCACAAGTGCCATTCTAACACTCATATGGAGCTCTCCAGAAAAGAAAGAAGCCTTTCCACTTTTACCTGTTGCAGCACATCCCACTACCAGTCATAACACAGACCACGCATTTCCATCCCAAGTACTGAAGAGTTCTCTTGGGCATTTTAACCTCAGCTATTTTGTGATTTTATCATTCTCACTCTCTCTCTCAAGTTCTCCAGGCAGCCTCATATAAAGAGGTAATTTTGTGGAGGTTTACCCCTTAGTGCTCTATTTACCTTTCTCATTTAGTCAGGTTTTGAGTTGCCTTTTTTCCTCTTAAGAGGCTAAAATCCAACTTACCTAACACATTTTTCATATATCTCAAAGTTTCACTCAAACTTTATTTTGGACATAGGAAATCTAACTCAACGTGTCAAGCATAAAAATTTCAATACAGGTGGTCAACATTTTATGATACACAAAAGTTTTGGGTGTATACAATAAAGGTTTTAAAAGAGAAAACCATGTTTTAACTACAGATAATGTAACAAGACACCAGGAAAGTTTTTAAGAGCCCAGTACTTAATCACTATAGGACAAAATAAATGAAAACTAAAATTTACTTTACCTTTAAAAACTACAAAAATTTTTTGCTTATTTCTTTAGAGAACTGTTGAAAATCATTCCTTCTAAAACCACAGGAAGAACACTAACTGTAGATTCTGACAAAGAGCCACCAACTTCCCCCATCTTCATCCCAAGTTTTGCAACACATGAAGATCAGCACCATCAACAGAAACCATAAAATGGAAACTTGACACCCTTTAACAAGCTCCAGCATTAACTCAGAACTGTCAAGGTGTTGGTCAACAAGAAAACCTGAGAAATATAACGATACGCAGATAGTCGAATCCATATCTGGCATTTAATACATTTAGTTGCCCTCATGTTAAATTTAAAGTATTTTTAGAGAATCCACTGAAGAACTCCTTAATACATCATTTATTATCAAGGACTTTCTCTTCTTTTCCAAAGCTCTCTTGCGAGCAAAAATCTGTACCCCCTTTTTAATTACATCTTACTGAAAAAGAAGATGGAATTATAATTAGATTCTGCATCAGACCTTCAATAGGTGTACTTTGATTTAGACACTGTTCCTACAGTGGGCAGACAGTAATTAAATGATTTCTCACCTTGACTACTCCATCAAAGCCAGGGATCGTGTTGACCTTTGCATTCTTGGCTAACAATTTGCTTTCAATCTTGTCTCCCATAGCTTGAATAGCATGTGTGTCAGGTCCAATGAAGGTGACACCTTCCGATGCCTGCGAAGACAATCAAACTTTAGGAGACAAAAATAAAAATCAGCTTTTCTTTACACAGATATTGCTATTCATATTTTTTTCTCCTTTGGAACTGACTAAAGCAACAATGTTTATAAGACAGTAATCTGTTTATGTAACAACCTAGCAATATATTCGCATTTCAGACAGTTCATTAAAAATGTGTATGACCTTGTGAAACTATGTATACACACAAATCCAAAGCCCCTATAATTAGCATTTGTATAAATCAAAGCCAGGCCAGAGAAAAATAGCTGCAAGTGAAGGTACTCCAGCCTGAAAGTTAGAAATATCCCTTTAGAAAACAGGCTGGTTAACTCACCCTTGAAACAGCCATAAGTGATTTACGAAGACACACTTGCTAAACTGTAACGCAGTTTAAAATTCTATTTATTATGCATTCCTAAAACCAAAACTCAATGAAACAACACAATGAAAACAAAATCTCTTACTCAACATATTTAGGATCTTGAAAGGTAGTAAGTGAAAACAAATTTCCTGATTCTTTTAGGAAACTTTTTTCAATACTAATGTGGAACCAGGTTAACATAAAATTCTTAAATACTTCAACTTTAATATTTAGGTAGAACACTGAACTGCATTTTTCTTCCTCTGGTTTCTCTATACCAACAATAGACATCAGTAAGATGCTTCAGATACAGGCATTTTTTCAAACCTCTTCAGGTCACTGCTATACTGAGGCAAAGGCGATTCTATCACAACTATTCCCTGAAAGTTACCAACTCGTCAAAAAGTACACACATGTTTTAGGCAACTGAACATTGTACTGGAGGAGGACAAAAAGGGATGGGGGGAGAGGATAAAAAAAAAAAAAAATTCAAGCCTTGCACAATGTTTCCAACTCTTACATTCCTTTTTTTCTTTCCCAACTCTAAGTCACCTGAAAAATGCCTAAAAAACAACTTGTTTCTAGTCCATGGGCAGCTTACTTAATATCAACACTAACAAAATGGCAAAGAGCCAATTTCTTATATTACAACTTATGTCTTCATATTTTTTCTTTTTGACATATCCTTGTGCTGTATATACCATACAATTTAAGTCACTAACAATAAAAAGTCATTGTTGAAGCTTTGTGCACTTACATGATGGTACTACGTGATCCAATCCCTGAACACAGGAATCACAGGATATGCTGAGTCAGAAGGGACCCACAAGGGTAACTGAGTCCAATCCTTAGCCCTGCACGGGACCATCCCCAAGAGTCTCACCATGTGCCTGAGAGGATCATTCAAACACTTATTGAACTCTGACAGGCTTGGTGCTGTGACCACTGCCCTGGGGAGCCTCTTCCAGTGCCCAATCACCTTCTGGATTAAGAACCTCTTTCTAATATCCAATCTAAACCTCCCCTGACACCACTTCAGGCCATTCCCTTGGGTCCTGTCACTGGTCACCACAGAGAAGAAATCAGTGCCTACCACTTGTCTTCCCCTCACAAGGAATTTGTCATTGCAATGTGATCTCCCCTCAGTCTCCTCCAGGTTGAACAGACCACGTGACCTCAGAAGCTCCTCAGACAGCTTTTCCTCAAGGCCCTTCACCATCTTTGTTGCCTTCCCTTCCTCTGGACACTCTCCAAGACCTTAATATCTGTCCCATATTTTGGTGCCAAAAACTGCACACAATATTCAAGGTGAGGGCACACCAGTGCAGAGCAGAGCAGGACAATCCCTTCCCTCAACCAGCTGGTGATGCTTTGCCTGATGCCTCCCAGGACACGGTTGGCCCTCCTGGCTTCAACATTGATGAAGATGTTGAAGAGCACAGGGCCTAAGACGGAGCCCTGCGGAACCCCGCTAGTGACAAGACACCAATATGTCACCCATTCACTATTACCCTCTATGCTCAACCCATGAGCCAATTGCTCACTCATCACATGAGTGAGCAATCCAGAAGGATCCTGTGAGAGACAGTATCAGAGGCTTTACTGAAATCCAAAAAGATTATATCAACTGGCTTCCTTCCTCTGAACAGTTAGGTGGATCACCTTGTCATAAAAGGAAATAAGGTTGGATAAGCAGGACTTTCTTCTCATGAAGCCGTGCTGGCTCTGACCAATGACTGTGTTGTCTTCCAGGTGTTTTTCAATACTTTCCAAAATAATCTGCTCCATAACTTTAACCAGGCAAGTAAACACCTGATAAGAAGTGAGACAGACAAGACTGTAGTTTCCAGGGTGCCTACTTCTTGCCCTTTTTGAAGATCAGGACAATGTTCACCAGCTTCCAGTCATCTGGGACCTCTCCAGATTCCCAAGACTGCTCAAAAATCATCAAGAGGGGTTTTATTTAAGATGAGGCTGGATGTGGCACTGAGTGCCATGATCTAGTAATCACAGTGGGGTTGGATCAAGGGTTGGACTTGATGATCTTGGAGGTCTCTTCCAACTCAGTTAATTCCATGATTCTATGAAGAGGGGGTTTGCAATGACATCAGCAGCTCTTTGAGGATTCAGGGATGAATCACATCAGGCCATCCAAGACTTCCACCTTGCAGTCTATTTCCATACTCTCACAGTATTTCTCTCTCTCCTCTGACTTTGTTCTGACAGAAAATAAAAACCTTCGTTCCAACTGGAGGTCACAGGAGAAGATGGAAATTGCTTTCATGACATCAGCAAGCACACACCTTTCCATCAAAAAGCACACAGGGGACATCGTGCTTGACTTCCTGTCTCATCTCACTGACCACTGGGATGGACTTTCCAAGTACCCAGTTCATTCCCTGCTCCTGTCCAAACAGGTAGCTGGATAAGAAGAGAACAGCACCATTCAGGAGAGATTCATGGACCACCTGAGAAGGAATGCTCCAGGCTATTTCAAGACATTAATCTCTGCATCCATTATATTTGTTACATGAATCCTGTAGAGCTGTAATATTCCACGTGGATACAGCCAATGCTATTTATTAAGTACCAGATGATATGTGGCAGATTCACAGTACTGCAAATATCACATGGTGCAATGTGCATCTTTGTCTTTTTTTTAATGTATACTTTTCATAACCCAGAATTTGCAAAGTACATTTGTCTACACATGCACCTCTCGGCTTCAAACTGCTTTGAACCTTTGTACCTTACACAGATCTGTTCTTTCATGCTGAACAAGCAGCAGCTTAGTATCACCAGCTATTCCCTGATATGGTTAGTCAATTCAGGCACTCACCACAGCCAATTACTTCCCAGCAACAAAACCTGAAATAAAATAGTTTAACTCAATGTGATATCACAGGACACCTAAAACCACATCACTCTGCATGCTGCAACATCCATAAATCAAAAATAAGTTAACAGACCAAAGGAGTTCCACTGTTTTCCAGCCAGTATGTCTGGCCATCTCTTACACAGAAGAAATGTGCATTCTCTGACGTGACTTGCAACTACCTTCAGTTAAGCACACAAAAAAAAGACTTTGTCAGCTCAAGGCACTGCTGAACAAACTCTTGAAAGTCTTGCTACAGTAATTTCAGTCATCACTCAAAGATGTTTGCTCAAGCCCTATGCCAAAGCTTCTCAGCTCCTCACCAGAAAAGTGTCCCCCCTTCACTGCCAACCATCACATAATGCAGAAAATGATCAGTTCAAAACTCTACTGCCCAATACTGAAGAAGCGAAAAACAGACCACAAGAAAGAATGTGGTGGAAACATCTTCAGCTCCCACAGAGATCTACCAGCACTTGACCATTAGCATCCTTAGTTTATCAAACACACAAGTGGTGAAACTACCAAAAAAACTTCCAGTGTCTGATAACAGTCTGTCTACACACAGATTTATTCATGTCATAACAAATACTAGAAACTCTGTTGTACATACACAAGCTTACACACTGAATATCAAACAAGCTCTTCCAATAGTTCTGTTACTCCTCTACATATTCATAAGTGTATTTCAGCTTTGAAGACTAATTATCCAGCTGCAGGAAACATATACAGTTTCACCATAAACATGCACCAGCATTTTCTTTAGAAACATGCCTGTGATACCTGTGTATCACTGCTCTGCTTTGCACAGTCAAAGGCACAAGCAAACAATAAGGAATATTTTATAAAAGTAAGTAATTTTGAGTTGTCTTGAGTAGTAGATATCGAATTTTCCCCAAACCTCTCTATTTTTGAAAGCAGTAACAATCGGTGTAATTGTCATGCCAGAAGAACTGCAAGCAGTTCATGCTCTCTCTCTTTTCATGTTTTTGGTTTTTTTTTAAGCCTGACAAAAGCCTTATTCTACCCTCAGGGAACGTGGGACTCATAATATAGCAAAAACTAAACCACAAAGTACAACATGCCAAAGTAAAACTTGGAAAACCCATTTGGGAAGTTCATGATTGAGCTATATGTGACCTTCACAGTCTGTCAAACACATCTGGGAACAGAGTGGGCCAAACAGATCCATGCTAGTGTAAATCACCATATTCCCAACATCTGGAATGGACCCGCCCAACTGACAAACTCTTGTGAACCCGAGGTAATTGATTCTAGAAGAGAAGATTCCTTTGCACCTCCTCCTCGAAATTATGAATGCAGATATTCAAAACTACTACACTATACAGTCAGCAGTGGATTCAGACTCAGTGACAGCATAAACAGAACTAAAGATAGGAGGGAAAACTGCATAATAAACTTTTATACCTACTAGCTCCCCTGACAACATAAACTCTTCTGCAGGCTTATGAATCTGTGGCAAACCAGTCATCTCACTGTCAGGCCACCCAGAGCTGCAGGAAATGATTTTGAACAGTTCCAACCCAGCTTTAGACAAAACAAGTGACACTGAAACTTATCCTCTCTCTTTTACTATGTTAGTAATGGACAATTAAACACTTTTTGGTGTCCTCACTTGAGCCAAGATATTTGAATCTGCATGTGTCAACCAGCTTAACAGGAACAGCTTCAACCATAAAGGAGGTATGCCATGCACAAAAACACGACTATCAAGATTCTTGTGTTTTCTCTTTCAGG